AGTGGGTTGAGCGACCCCATGTTAAGGTGTACTGTTTTACATACACCTGTTGATATGATGGTTGATTGTGGGGCGAGATACTCTAAGATGAGAAAGACTTTGCCAAAAATGACAATGTCCACTGATTCTACAGCAGTATCGGGTTTCTCGGGAAAAACAGAACGATTACCATTCACATCACCTCTCTTGGCCCAGGTGGGCACTCAGACTTTTCGCCAGCAGTACCTCTTCTCACCAGCATGTCCTGTGAACTTAATGGGGAGAGATATGTTACAGACAATGGGTGCAGTGATCCTGTGTGGTCCTCTTGGACTACAAGTGACATTGAGAGACGGTACAATCCTCCACTGCAATGAACATGTTATGTACAGCTCAAAGAACATGTTGCTGCAGTCTGAACAGCAGCCTCCCACCTTCTCAGCTGAAATCTTTTGGGGCCTGTTACAGCCTGAAACACCTGAAAAAGGAGGCATTTTCTCCCTTTTCCAGCTTTGGAAGCCCTGGATTGCACAGCTTGCTCCATATGCTCCTCCAGCTGATCCCCTCCATGTCACCCTGAATTACTTACGCGAGCCTGACAATTTGTACACAGATGCTTTTGAATCTGAACTTGCAGGAGGTGTTTGGCACATATAGCATCACCTTGTTTGTTTGTGGGAAGAGAGGGTGTTGTTGCTGCAGTTACCTTAGAAGAACAGCTAAAATGGTATGAATTATCAGAGGACAGCTCTCCTCACGTCTCTCTGGCTCTGCATGCCAGGCATGAAGCCAGGCAATTGGGCCAATGACTAAAAGAATGTCTCAGTTAACGGATTGGCAGCCTACTCAGTGCCCTGCCATCATGTTTTCATCTTCAGATAACAGCTGGAAGATTACGCATCACACACGTGACACAGTTGTTTTGCAACAAACGACATTGGACCGGTTTCATGGTCGCGAGAGAACAAACCACCCACACACCGACACCATGTTTGCTACACTCCCTGATTCTCTTTGGTCCACCTCCCCTATGGATGTGGGCCACTGCACACACACATCGGTTACGTTTGCACTCGAGGCGAATATGCAGCCTATTTGGAGGAGACAATATCCTCTCAAACCTGAAGCGGAAGCAGGTATTAAAGACACGATTGATGGCCTATTGAAAGCAGGTGTTTTGGTTCCTTGCCATTCACCGTGGAACACACCGATTCTTCCTGTCCCAAAACCTAACACTGATAAATACAGAATGGTTCATGACTTAAGGTTGATTAACAAAATAATCACCACACAGTCTATGTCCGTGCCCAACTCTTACACTGCTCTCTCATCGTCTCCTGCTCACTTGCATTTCACTGTCATTGACCTCGCAAATGCGTTTTTCTGTCTTCCACTTGACCCAGCCTTACAAGAGGTTTTTGCATTTACTTTCCAGGGACAGCAGTACACATATACCAGACTGCCACAAGGCTTGGTTCTCTCGCCAGGACTGTTTAACCGACATTTGAAACATGACTTGTCAACTCTTGAACTTCCTGAGGACGTATTGTTAATTCAATATGTGGACGACTTACTGATTGCTGCTCCATCAGCAGAGACATGCATGACTGCAAGCCACCAGGTGCTCACACGATTGGCTGAGTGCAGGTTTAAAGTAAGCAAAACTAAGGTTCAACTTTGCAGACAGGTTGTTGCCTTCTTAGGCCGAGAAGTTTCTCAAAACTCTTCTGGCCTCTCTAGTGCTCATAAAACATCAATCCTGCACCACTCAAAACCTATCACAGTAAAAGACATGCTCTCTTTTCTAGGCCTGACAGGCTACAGCAGAAACTACATCGCAGCATACACAGACAGAACATCTCCATTACGTGCCCTTGTCGCCGCTGTAGGTCATCGCAACCTCACAGCACAGCTGACTTGGAGCCCTGACGCTGAACAGCAGTTCATTTCACTCAAACAATCCTTGTCAGAAGCAGTCTCACTCTCTGTGCCAGACTACACATTGCCTTTCTATTTGGATGTTTCTGAAAAAGCAGGCATTGTCAATGCCGCCTTATTCCAGAAAAAAGAGGGGGGTAGAGACGTACTAATGTACTACAGTGCAAAACTTGACTCTACAGAATCCAGCCAGCCTCCATGTGTCAAACATGCAGCAGGCATGGCTAAAGCGGTTTTGAAAACTGCTCACATAGTCATGAGCCATCCACTTGTCATTTTGACTGAGCATGGTGTTATGGCTTTTGTAACATCCAGCAGGGCTTATCCCTCTATTGGCAAAACAAGCACATGGGGTTACTCATAGTGGAAGAAAACAAACATTGACAAACATGGAGCTACATTGGTGGCATCCTTACCTAAAAGCAATGATAGAGTAATTGATTGTAAAATATGTAATGAACATAATGCTAAACCAACAGTAAAACCAACCATGGGCAGCTATCCAGTTCCTACAGCGCCATGGCAAGAAATAATGATCGATTATACAGACATGGGACAAGAATAACGAGTTGGGGTTTACAGGTTCATGTTAGTAATAGTCGACTGTTTCTCAAAGTGGGTGGAGGCAGTCCCCACTAAAAAAAGAGGATGCCGCGTCAGTGATAAAATATTTGGTAAATCAACATATCCCTAGGCTTGGACTCCCTATGAGGATAAGATCAGATAATGGTACACATTTTTCAAGCAAGGACCTAAAAAAGGTAGAGGCTGTGTTAAACATAACGCACTCTTACGGTTCAGTGTATCACCCGCAGTCCCAGGGGAAGGTGGAGAGAGCAAACAGAACTCTCAAGGACAAACTGTCGAAAGCCTGCAGAGAAACCGGCCTCAATTGGGTCGAGGCATTACCACATGTACTAATGAGCATTAGATCATCAATAAACAGCAGTACAGATTTCTCTCCCCATGAATTAGTAACAGGAAGGAGGATGCCAGGACCGGCATCCAGTGGCCCTCTGAAAGAGCCTGTAGAACTATCAAGTATAGAGGGTAAAGTATACTATAATGCACTAACAATATTGGTAGCTTCCTTCTCTCAATAGGTGCAGAATCAGCAGAGGTAAGCCAAGGATCTGGCTCCCCCAACGGAACCGTGAAAGAAGGAGAGTGGGTTTGGTTAAAAGTCATTAAAAGAAAATGGACTGAACCAAGGTGGACAGGACCTTACAAAATAGAGGCTGCCACTACACATTCAGTAAGACTTGAGAAAAAAGGGTCAAACTGGTATCATCAGACTCAGTGTGCAAAGGCACAAGACAACCAAAGTTAGATTTGCACCGACTGGCAAAAAGACAAAAAAGCTCTGTGCCACGGGGAACTTTGGTTTAAACGCTCATAAAACATTAACTAAACCAGGCCCTCTCAGAGGAGAGGTTATCACTGCCTATTGTGTTTTATTCTTTTTTGTTTTTTCTGTTACAATAGCCCTCCCTTTCATGCTCCGTCTACTGTGTGTTGGCAGGATGCCCAGATGTGTGTGCGCAACTGAAAGTATCTATAATAGTCAACAGCCCTCCTCTTCTTGTGGAATAAAATGACCAGATAATTACGAGGCACTTATACACAGGACACATCAGGACCAAACAATTCAGTAAAATCTAAAACAGCCTTAATAGCAGGGCTCACTTTGCTTCTATAATTAGTGGGGTTTTCTATCTTAATTTGGTGTACATCTGTAGAAAATGGCCAATAAGGCCCCCTAGGTCCAGACAAAGACGTCTGTGGGGATGTGGGTTACGAAAATCAACTTGCGTACTGGGACTCCTTACCTTCTGTATTGTTGTCCCCATCCTATTTTACGAGGGTTACCAAAGGTCACTGACGAGACAAAGTGACACTGATGTAACAACTACTGACCATACTCCTAATAAAAATGTGACTGACAAAAGAGGGATCCGTTCCCAGACAAATGCTCCTCACTCAGTGCCAACAACTGTATCAACCTGTGACACAACAAGACCCAGACCGATACCTCGACTTACACTCTGACGATGATTATCAGGACGCTGAAGGGGGTGAATGCCATCCCCTCCAGCCGCTAAACTACGACAATGTTGCTGTTGTAACCACTTCCAAATAACTCTGTATTAAAAATGTGCATTTAAACTGTTTAACCATTTCCACATGTGTCAAAATAATTGTAATGTGCTCCTTTGCTCTGCCTGCACGCTTACATTGCAAGATGACTACTGATATAGCAATTTATATTCACACTGTTAAACAGTGTGAAAAGAGGGATTGTCACAGTAGTGACAATTCTTAAGGTTACACACCGATTTTCAGACTTTGGAACACATTTATATCAAAAGTATGGGATTTAGCTACTTACCATTCAGCCATAAGGGACAGGGATGCAGTGTCACTGCCTGGTGAAAAATGCAGGGGTGTGGCTAAAAACCAGGCTCAGCCAATGGACTAAAACTCTTGTGTTTTGGTAGTGACGTGAAAACTGGGGACATGAATTTTTGGGTATAGCTTTTTAATTTTAAAATTAAACCCAAAATAAATCTAAATCTTACAACTTCTGTTTAAACTTAATCATAAAGATCTTTGAAATTACACCATTGAACAAAATCTAAAAATTGTTTTAAGTGTTATTTACAGAAATTGAAATTTAGATGTCAGGGTTGGGGACAGCTACTTCCCAATAGAAAGTACCCTATAAATGATGATTTTCTATATATTTAGCTTATCACTATCTAATTTAATGCCTTGGGTTTAAATAGACCATAACACATTCTTAGTAAATATCTATGTCTGAATACTTAATTATTTTGTTAAATAGTTTTTCTTGTTGGGGGACAGTACTTTGAACGAATTCGGTAGAATGGCCCTTATACTGCTTAGAGGCATGAAGACAAGGGGGCGTGTACTGTTAGAACCTACCTTTCTAATAAATAGAAGTCCGCGAGTGAGTGAGACGCAGAGAATAAGAACGACACGGGCAACAAGTTGGATGTAGGCAACAAGCGGCAGCTGTCAACGCAACACGCGGTTCTTTTCCCTTTTTGGGGGGGTCCATCGTTGCATCCGAGGAGAGGCAGATGGTTTCATTCGGGATGAAGTTGGCTGTCGTGTGCTTCTGCTTCTGCATTCTGCATTTGACCGCAGTCAGCGCTGGACAGTACGGCCGCAAGTCAGAAGCCTCCGCAGAAGCTCCGCAGAAGCCTCAGCCCCTCGGCACAGGTGAGTGCACGGGTTGCGCTGTTTTACCTGCCAGGCTGTTTCTACAGTTTATATAGCTCACTAGTAGCTAACAACTGCACTATTTTAGTCAGATGATGAACGCAGAGATTTATACACTCAATAATAGAGACTAACCTACACTAAACTGTATTCATTTACAATTGAGTGTGTGTATATTTTTATATAGACAATCCTACAGTTTACATAAAAACACTGTACATCTTTTTATAGACAAATATATTAGGACTAAAAGTAGGCTACTACACAATATGATTAATTATGAACTGCAAAATGTATACACAGAATATTTTGAATTGTGACAATTGCTATTTAGCATTATTATAATGTCTTAGTTAATGTCTAGTACTAAAATGGCTTTTTATTTGAGTTTTAAATACAATCTAAACCGGGACTAAAGGAATTCAAACGGATGGATTGCAGTCTGAATACGAAATTACATTCGTACTTCGTCGTCAGAAGTGATGTTGAATTGAACCAAAATGTGAAATCCTGTACATTATGTGAATATAAGTCTGTATCGTGGGGTTGGACTTGGGTGGTGGTCGGGCTCATCTTTATGATGTCACGTGGTGACAGATATGAAACTGACCAAAAGATAAGATAAGACCAAACTGCATGTATCCCAAGGGAAACTAGCTGTGCAGCAGTTGCAATAAAGAGTGGAAGATTGCAAATATTAAATGCCAAAATCAGATTAACAGTATGGATGGAACAAATATGAACATGTTGATGGCTGGGATCCATCTATAGATATGTACAGCATCAGATTTATTGTAAGAGTACCCTACATGGTTAGTACAGAAAATATTCACATTTGTAATTGGACATTATGTCCCATCATGTGATGTAAGTCAGCTGTACGGATTTGGCCCAATGCTTTGTTACTCTTGTCCTTCGTTTAGGTTATTGTACATTGAGAGCAATGGAGTCAAAATTACTTGTGTGCGTAGGCTACACATATCTTGCCACTAAAGCTGATGATTCCGACTTTGATTCTGAAAAAATCAACTCCGCTATACAAACAAAAGGTTATAAAATAATAGCCTACATATAGCATAACATATACTAAATAAAATGTTTACAGTGACAGCATCCAAGTGATATATCTTTAAATGAGACAGTTTTGTAGCCTATGGTCCAGATTTAACTTTTAGCATTGACTGAAAGAATACACTATGCTTATAGGATTACAGTCAGACTAAACACAGTAGCGCCAAAATAATCTTATTAAAGGGGTTGAAATGGAAACAACCACAATGTCAGGCAGACACAAGGGGATCTGGATACGGGAGGCCCTCTGCTCCTCACAGTAACTGTAACATGTAGGGTATCTGAAACACATGTGCCAATAACCTAACAATAAAGTGGTCTCACACTTGGTGTTTTGTTTTCTTCAGCAGTTCTATGAGTAGGTCCTAAGAGAACTGCAAGGAGGGGAAGAGGGACGACACATGGACGCGGCGAGAGATGCGACTCATTACCAGCTTATTATTTTTAAAACAAAAGGCGGCGCAGTGCCGACGCAGATATTTCATACATGAGACGTAGCAGACCTGCAAGAAAAGCAGTATAGGATTCATAGGCGCAGATGTGCATTCAACCACAGACTGTATATTGGACCCGTTCATATGAGTCAGCTGTCCCTCTGTTACTGTCTGCAGTGTAGTCCAAACCATAGACTGTGTATAAGAAGTGGACGTAGTCATCGTGACGTCACCTAATGGTTCGTGTCGCCATATCAGTTTTTTTGCAACTAATGAATGGAGATTACCATATTGGGAATTCATAAGAGTGATGTAGAGACGCCGTATACGGCTCTGGTATCATACTCTGCTTATGGTCTATTTTACTCTAAAAGGGACCATGATTTAATAAATGAACATCATGCTTGAAGGAGACTTTGAACTAGCAATTGAGACCATAAACCTTTTAAATATCCTTATTGCGAGATCACTCTAGAAAACAACCATGTTATCTTGAGATAACGTGATAACTAATTTGTTATCACTGGAAATCATTCCGAAGGTAAATGTATTCAAACAGCCTAGATGAGCTGACAGTGATGACCTTGGTGAGGTTAGCGGAAGGATACCATAGGATTAAACGTGACTATGTCCGGTTTTCAAAATAGGGTGTCTACGAAGGTACATACAAAATATGTATATGGAAATAAGGTCAAATGGATTACATTTGCAAGCATGTTGTCTGTGTCCCTAACCACAAAATAGTGGGGGAAATGTCATGCATGAGACGTAGCAGGCCATATTGTCTGCCCAGAATGTACCCGTCTTTTTGTTACTGTACTGTTAACATTCCTCCAGATTCAAATTTTTTAAAAAGCACTACAGAAATGCACCACAGATTTTGCTTTATTTAGTTTTTTTTCTTGTATAAAGAGACTACAACTGCATGTCGTTGCGCAAGCCTGTGCAGTAAAATGACATCAAATCAAACTTGAACCGTATACAGCTTAAAGCAGTTTAAAGCAGTTGGAAATCTTCTTCAAAACATTTTTTTTAAATGTATAAGTATCTCTCTGTGTTACATCTTGTCAGCAATCAATGAATCATCTCTCTGACAAAATAAATATATATATACGGTGTATGTGGCTGTCGCAGGATTGTAATAAGCCGTACAATCGTTTCATTCAGCCTAAATGTAATGGTTTGGGCTACCTACCTGCCCACATGTGCGCACTCTGCCCATGCACTCATTGCGCGTCACCAGCTTAACAGCTGTGAGTACTAACAATAGCCATGTTCGTTGTTTATGTTCATAAAGATCATTTTTGGGGAGTGGCTTTGGAGGGAGGCCTGAAGGGACGGGCGGTGTTGCTGAATTGGCAACTTTCTTGCTAGATGTAGCGACTTGTGGAGCTAGTGTGGCAACACTATGGGCTGGGTTTTTTGGTTGGATAATTTAAAAAATGTAGCGTCCTCTTGCTAGTTTCTCAAGATTACCAACCCTAGCTTTAAGCTGCTTAAATAGTAGTTTATTTCAGTGGTATTAATTTGTACTGTAGGTAAAAATGTTCGTGTACTCTGTATTTATAATCCAGTGCATTCGTGCATTTTTATAATTGTGTGTTATAAATCAAATTGTTAGAGCATTTTTCAGTAAAATCTACAATATTTGACTTGGGGAACATTGCCCATTGCATGCCAAATCGTCCATTTACTATACACCATACTGGACATACAGCCTGTACCCAATATGCACACAGAGACTCATTAGAAGATGAGATGCAGCTAGTAGCAAGATTAAGACACGGGCTCCCTAGGGGTTTCCACAAGGACTTCTGGTGGACAGAGAAGGAAGATGTCAATCCAGCATGGTGCTAGTCAAAACAACTGAGCCGTATGGGTGAACTATGGGTATGCAGGGCCTTTAAGATTTTACATACAATCTATATGATACATTTAAAAAAAACTGATGCATTACTACTGACTACCAGAGAGTATAATAAGTAGTTAGCATTCGTTTCATCTTGACCAACTACAACATTAAAATGCTGCCTATATTTTATATTTATTATAATAATAAGCATATGATATAATAACATTTTACATTGACAGGGTCCATTCTGTATAATGAGTACTTTTACTTTTGATACTTTATGTATTCTTCTGATAATACATGTTAAACAACCATCTGGATCTTTTGAAGATAGGTATTTAAATACATAACCCTGATTGCTTAGCTTTGTGACTCAAATGTACAGTGATGGTAATAAATGAGAGGGACAAACTGGGGCTAATGGTGATCTTAAATTGAACGTAACGCAATCTGAGGCTGAGATGTTCTGCAGCATTATTTCCTAATCACAGTCTTGTCATTGTTTCAACAGGGTCTTTGATCAAAGGCAGACAGAGACCACTGTTTGCGAGGAGAGGACAGTATGAAAGACAAAGGATTCATACATCGGTAAGATCTTGGTGGCTTATAATCTAGTCACATTGAGCATTGACTTTTCTAGTTTACAAAAAGCATTGAATGATCTGTAATAGTCTAATATTTAGATTTTATAATTTATACACACTGCAAAAGAAAATGAATGATCTCGGTTGGAAGATTCATTTCAAAATAAGTCAAAAGGTTAAACTCCATTTTGCACTGATCTGATATATCACCATGTCAATAGCATTAATTCTTGGTTTCACAGATTTGAGACATAGTTGTTAATATGTACAAAGACAAAAATGGCTTCACAATAAGTAGAGCGCACTTTAATAAATGTGTTGTTGTTTCAGCTTTGAGCCATTCAGAAAGCTTCGAGTTTTCAGCTCTCAATAAACAAAACCAGCACTTTTTTGTACATCAAAGGAGAAGGTTATATTGGCAATATTACTGGATTTTGATGCTCCCATATTCATCCACTGTGCTTCCCTCTTTCCATTCTCTCCACCTTCCAGAAGTCCAACGTGGTCCCTGTTCCTCCAAATGGCGCTCCCCCTCCTTCTAAAGTGGCACCCAAACCTGTGAAGCCTAAGTGCTCTCAGATAACACAAAGCTGTTTGCCCCAGTTTGGCTGCTGTAACTCAAACGCCACATGCCACTGCCGCTTCTTCAACGCAATCTGCTTCTGCCGCCGGTCAACCGGTCAAAACTGAGACGCAAAAATAAACTCAAGCGCACAGTACAGATAGCATCACCCACGCTGCCACGATTGTGTTATAACAGTAATCAACCACCTCAACAGACAGGCTGATGCATCACATGGGTGGGACGATAAGCATCATCTCACAAAGTCAGCATCTTAAGTTAGATAGTGCACATTTTAAGGAGTTTATCAAACTTGCATACCTTTTGTGAAAGTCAGCTGCTTGGAAAAGTTATCCACTGTATACTTAAGCTTACATTCTCCTAAAATCCATTCATTGTTATGTAAATTCCTTTGAACAATACTAACTGTATATAATCAGTATTATCATTATTGTTTCTTTTTTGATGTTGCTGACATTGTTTTTGTATTTCACCAGTGTTATGTGACCACATATACTGTATATGTTTTAAACTGTTTTGCTTTATTAACATGATTATGTTCATAATGCATGAATTGCATTCAAGCGCTTTATCTGATAAAATAAATTCTGTACGAACACAAATTTTACAGCAATCAGTTGTTGAATCAATCCACTTTTAACTGTGTTTTTCTTTATCTTTGGGTATAATCACTGCAGCCTTAGCAAGTGCTAAGTTATGAGCACAGGTACAAACCCCAAAGTAATGTAAAACAGAAAATAATGGTACATGACAGCAACGTAATGGTATAGGCACAAATGGATGGTTTGAGTAATAGCATCCACGACATCCGTCATTGACAAAATAGGGGCTAATTTCTGTTTTAAAATAGCTTTTAAATACGTCAAAGGAAATGTTGGCGGCAGCCACAAATTAGTTCAGCATGACAGTAATGCGCTACAAGATGCAGTGTTGCCATCAATTAGGTATAGTAGTTTTAGTTTATGTGTAAGTTAACATGATAGGAGAACCGCACCAATATGTTTTTTCTGTGTTTTCCTGTACACAATGGCATGTAATACTGCCTAAATTTAGTATTTTTTTTGATGTTGTATGCTAAAAAGGAACGACCTCAGAGGTAAAACCAAGTTGATTGTTTCTCTGCAACTGCTGAAATAATAAATCTTTGTGATACAAAGTAAATGCACATTGTTGCAAACACTTTAGCAGTCATGATGACAGCCGCTCTCTCATCCTCTCCTCCGTTCTCTATCTGTAATGAACCATGTTATATACGATATTCAGAGCTATAATACAGCAGCAAACAACTTAGATATAGTGGAGAAAGGTCTACCTGAGGCGAGAATAAAGTTGCTCTCCCTCCGTGTGTGTCATTATCCGAGCTTCTCCTCAGGTAGACACTGTTAGCCCTGTCCTGCCCGGCACTGTTAGTGCTGTTAGCATCGTTAGCTGCGAGTTGCAGGCTCAGCTGCCACCATGTTGAGAGCCATTGAGAGGCATATCAACCCTGGCGTTCCTTTCTCTCATCCCCACAGCGTTGTTCCAGTGTTATTGGTAGCTGCGCTCAGGCCTAGTGTCTGTCTGAAGGGCATGGTTGAAAAGAATACAAAGGGCACCAGCTGCATGCGTATAGGCACCAGTGAGCAGAAGGTTTGTAGGGTAGCCTATACGGCACTGCATCACGGTTTCTGCCCTGGAAGGGCACTCTAGTGGGAACTGCATCACGTTTTCTCCAATTAAGGGCCCCGATTTCTGCACTTCACCTCATTCTCTCCTCTGGAGGGCACTTCATCTCGTTTTCCCTACTGGAAGGAGACCCGACAAGGCACTTTATCATGTTTTATCTACCATAGGAGCATCCAAGAGGGCGTTTTTGCTGCATTTCCATGGAGCACAAATCTTTTCAATCTGTACAGATCACAGGAGCTGCATTTGATTCCTCGTGACATGTGCCTCAGGATGTTGTCTATCCTCAAATGAAAGGGAAGGGGGGGGGGCTCCAAAATGCTCAGATTAGAGTTACCGAACAAAAGTGAAATTTAGTTCCAATCTTTGTGAAGCAATATCCTCCCTTATTGTCCAGCAAAAATGCTTGCTGCCTCCTGTTCTGCAGTGTGGCAAGGACCAAGGCTCACAGTACGAAGCCGTTTTCGTATATGACCTTGATGATTTCTAAAGAATCAGGCGGGACATGACATGGCTTGCACTGAAATGACGTGGCTGGTTCTTAATTTGCCCTCTTGCAATTCCTTGAATTTGTCTCACCATTTCGGGGTCACACCCTACTGACAGTAGTTCCCTAATCCCTTTGTCTCCCCAAAAGGTCTCTCCACAACAGTCTTGTATAAATGACCCCTCTTCTTCCCCCTCGGATGTTCGTTTTCTTCTAGTTTTGCAACATTCCCCGCACGATAAAATGTCACCAACCGGCCCTCTGCCATATTGTGAACTCCCCAAACAATGACCGGCTCTACTCACGCCAAGCGTCAATCTCCGGGGTTGCAAAATTAAGCCAACGTGGAAGTTACATGCTAAGGTGTGGAAGTGATTTCCGACCAGCAGAGTGATACAAGTAAATATGACATAAACTTTGCAGGTTTAAGCCGTACCTCTGGGGCATCCGGGGTGAGCCTCCCTCTGAAATTTTATTTTTTGATAAACCAGCTCTTTTGCTTTTTTGTGCACTCTGGCCTCTTAGTTACATCATGTACATGTACATGTCACACATACACACAGTTGGTTTAGAGACCTGCGTGTCAGACCAGGCTTATGAGGCTCACACACATGCTTAGCATTGGCTTACATTTAAAATTATTTTTGGGCCTACACTCAAAACATTCATGGTACAGATTTGACTGCGTATGTGTTGTACCCTAATGATATGACATCTCTTTTAACTCTCCTTGTACCTGGCTTGTTATCTTAACTTGTTGTACTAAAAGACAAACGGAACAATATAACTTCCACAAAGTCTTTACTGCATGGTTATTGTGTTGGATTGCATTAAGTTGTACAGGTGGTCATGTTTATATGTCCACCATATGTAGTGAGATGAGTTGGCATGGTCTTCATTACTAAATGAGTTGGAGTTGAGTTTATACATTTTACATTCTTGCTTATAAATTATTTTTGCATCTGAAACATGCTAGTTGTAAATATGAGTTTTTGAACAAATTTTAAGGACATGTTGAGCGTTCAGTGTTTACGAATGCAGTTTGGCGCCCTCTGCTGGTCTGTACACACACACACACACACACACACACACACACACACATCTTTTATCAAGTAAATAGTGTATTTGATGGTTACTTCTCATCCACTCTGTTAGGCAATAGCCTGAAAGACGTTAGAATCAGGCAGTCGGTCCCCTTAAGTGTATTGGCCGGGAATAAATAGTTTCAAACCCACAATTGTACGTAAAATGTTTTGTTTTGGAATGTGATATGTCGCCGCAAAGTGCTTACACATTCCTGTTCATACCATTTCCAGCCCTTGCAGCCCCTCGCACCAGGTAAATCCTGCCAGCATGCATGTTAATTCAGCAGGGATAACATTAAATGATCAAAGTTGATCTTCGGGAGAATAAATAATTGAATTGAAGCAATAAAGAATGCCTTCGTGCCTTACTGCATTATATTTTAAATTGTCGCTGTCTTATATTTGTGTTTTCTTTCCTTTTTTAAAAGATATTCTTTTTCATTTTTGATTTATTGACAGTGAAAGCTTGGAGAGAGTCAAGAAAGGCAGAGGAGAGAGAGAGAGAGGATGACATGCAGCAAAGGAAAAAACTCAGCCTCGACACAAGGGATTCAAGCCCTAGGAAGTTAGCTACCAAGGCACCCTGATATTTGTGTTTTCTTTTTACATAAATAAAGATAACTCCACCATAAATTCACCAGAATGCAGGAAATAAGGTTTTTGATGCTTAAAATTTCCTGCGGCTAGTACAGTATATGTATAGTAATAACTAAACACATAATCATAGTGTTATATCAGTAGAGGGTTAATAATGTTAACATGAACCCGTGTTCAACAGGGGAGGAGAACTGCTGACCCTGACTGAGGATATTCTCCAGCAGTGGAAGACTCCTGAACCCAACCATTGCCTCCTCTATGGAGGAGGCAGAGGTCAAAGACTTGGGCGAAGCCTCACCTGTATCCATGGCAGAGGTCTGGCGAGGCACCAGGTGCGGATGAGATTAACCCTGAGATGCTGAAGGCTCAGGACATTGTTGGGATGTCTTGGTTGACCTGCCTCTTCGTTGTCGCGTGGAGGTTGAGGACAGTGCCTGCAGACTACCAGACCGGGGTGAAAGCTCCCATTTTTAAAAAGGGGGACGACAGGGTGCTCCAATTATCAGGTATCATAGTACTCAGCCTCACTGGGGAAGTCCATTCCAGGTTGCTGGAAATTACTCCGACAGATTGTCGAACCTCAAATCCAGGAGGAGGAGAGTGTTTGGTTTGGGTATATACCTCAGAATAATTTTTCCGCTTTTTGCAGATGATGTGGTCCTATTGGCTTCTTCAGACCATGACCTTCAGCATGCACTGGGGCACTTTGCAGTCGGGTGGGAGGCGGTTGGGATCGGAGTCAGCACCTCCAAGTCTAAGGCCATGGTTCTCTGCTGGAAAAATACTCTCTCCGGGTTGGGAGTGAGTTGTTGGACCAAGTGAAGGACTTCAAGTATCTCTGGGTCTTGTTCGTGAGGGTAAAATGGAGCGTGAGGGTAAAATGGAGCGTGAGATCAACGGACGGATTGGTGTGGCTTCAGCATTAATATAGGCGTTGTGCAATTTATATTTCATTAATCAACCCTGTGTTATAAAATGACAAATAAATGAACCTTGTAACACACACACGGACCAGCAACAGACACACAATTGTAAATATAATTTTACAATATACTTTTTTTAAAGTACTGTTATCTGTTTGTTTGTGTACCATATTTTATTGTAAATTTTAATGTTTCTATTTTTAAATTATGTCTTGATTATTGCACTGAAATCTATCACTCCCCCATGGAATACAGCAATTAGCAATATTGTCAATAACACCTGGAATCATATGTCATAACGTCTGCCATCTTGTCAGTGTTTGTAATATAAGAATATTAGAGCAGAGTTAATAATTGAAGTAAAAACAAATCCACACGTGCGAATCTAAGACACTGAGCTAAAACACTGTGATTAAAAATCAATTTCAAATGGATTTGGGCTAGAATATAGGAAGTCAAAATATATATAGTCGTGCAGTTGTAGAGGTTAGATGAAAAGTGATATAGAGAATGGAAATTTTGTTTTGTCAAAGACCAAAATTCCATCGGAAAACAGGAATTTATGAAATAGTCTACTGTTTGCTGCCTTGAAAGTAAATTAACAGCACACTTAGCTCAGCTGAAACCAGTGGTTTAAATAATAACTATTATTGTATTGGGTTTGCTAAGACTTGATTTCCAGTTGTTACCCCTGCTAATGCTGCATACTCATGTCCTTTGATTCACAGACAATGAATCTATATTTCTATATAAATAGTTGAAGAAATTCCTGGATGCATTTACACTCAGTGGAATGTGATTAGAATCATGAATATGACATACAGTATGCCAGGCCACGACAGCATCCTCTGGAGCACCCAAAAAGAGCAGCTATGCCACAGCCTCTGAGTGAATACAAATTACACCAGCAGTGACCAGAAGTGCAAAAAACGTCTCTGTGTGTAGCACCCCTTTAATAAATGCAGTGTCAGAACGACAATAAGTACTTCTGCATATTTACTAGATAAACACATTTGAAGATAAAAGTTAATTAATCCACTTGGTCAAAACAAACAGTGATATTGAACATCATGTTGTTTATTGGCTTGTGACCCCCATGGCTTGTGACCCCAATGTATCAATATTTTCCTTTTGACCCCTCACTATTGGTGATCATCTTCTTAGATGGGTTGATTGAAATTATTTTTACAGCCTGAAGTGGTGAAAGTACTCAGTATTTGACCATTAAAAAAATGGAAAAAGTCAGCCAAATAAACACACTTTTTGGGTAACAGAAACGTTTGTTCTCTTTAATGTATCATCCTGTGATCCCTCTGAATTTTATTGTGACCCCCTTGGTTCCTGACACCCGAACCACATACAGTATGGTATATGATACATACATACATACAAACATACAAGTGAAATGAAATAGGTCTTTCTGTACGACAAGATACTAAGGTGAGCAGCATTGCTGCAGAAGTAACTAAAAATAAAAATGTGCGCAATATGAGAATTGAATGAAAAATCAAAATATATATTAAAAAAAATCAATTTGGAATACATGTAACATATAGGAATGATGTGCTCGCCTTCAATTTGACAAGTAATCAAGATAGTGTCTTGGTTTGTGTACTGTAAAAAACAAGACACAGATATGAATATTTAAATTACGCTTTTAGAAGGTAAAGTAAAGTAACATACGGTCTGGTCTAACTGTCTATGACAGTAACACCATTATACATATATCCACAGTGTTGACTCAGAGGGCCAACTCTCGTGTCCCGTGTTATTACACAGCAATATTTTGGGTGGCGCGCCTGTAGACCGTGTGTTTTGCTGCTCCGAGGCTTCTGCACAGAGATGGCAAGACAACCGTAGCAGACTGGGGCCTATACGGTTGGGCATTTTACCGACAACCGTAACGTAAGAACCGCATAGACGCAGAGAGTAGGAAAGGAGCGGAACAACGGACGAGGTAAAAGCCAGCTGCTTGTGTAACTTTAACCCACTACGAACGGATTTATTGTAATGTCAAAAATGAATTATTTTAAAGTCTGTCTTCCACATCCTACCAAAGTGTTAGACCAACGTTAGCTCAATGATGGCGGACAACTAGTAAAGCGGCTAAGTAACGCTAAATTCGTTAGCAAACGGGCAGCAATTGGATAATAGCTAACTTGGCTAAGTTTGTAACGTTAGCATGCTAAAGTAGCAGTGTCTGCTTTACTGTAGGTTGTACAGCTAAAGATTAAACAAACACTGAATATTTAGATTATGTGCGGATATATCCACCTGGTAAGCCTATTAGATGTCGCAACGTTAATTAGAGGGATAGTCGGCTATCGGTAAGCTTGTAACTCAAACAAATAACACTAAAACAGGGATCTTTTTCAGTGGCTAGCTGGTTAGCTTATTGATAGCTGGCTAGCTGACTTTAGCTTTCATTGCAGACTACTGCTAGTGGCTACGACATGGCTACACGTCGTTAGCCATCCTTATCTGACAGATACTGTTTACGCTATGGGAAATGTCTGGGGCAAATATAAGATTACCAAACATTGTCTCTGATGTAATAGATTACTGTCCAAAGACCATTAAGTTAGGTATCTGTTAAATCACTCTTACTTAGCGTTAGCATGTTAGTAGATTATTAGAAGTTAGCCAACGTTGGTTAACCATATCAGTTTGTGTGTGATGATCAGTGTTTGAAACAACAAGGCTTTGTTAGCTTAACTTAATGACTTAAATGTAGTTTGAAAGTGATGGCAATCTGCTGATTTATTATCCAATATCCACAGTATTGTTTACTGAACTTTGCTATCTAAAAAGAAAACAACAATGGTTACCTCCTAACTTTTAAATGTGTTACCATTTGTTGTCTACCAGGTGTTTCTTTGATTATGCACAATACCTGACTAAACGTAGGCCTGACATAAGGCACACTGCTGTTAATACAACATTGTCTAAACATATCAGTGGCGCTCCTTTTAAATATTACTAAACAAGTAACACACTCAAAACAGTCCATGATTGGCAAAGACACAGCATTTTGAGCACAATATGTCATCGGATATGAACTTGGGCCCAGCTAATACCTGAAGGGAATCCCTATCAATGACATTTAGGCCCAATGGTCTTCCATTCCCTATTTGTGGATAGGCTCTGTCTCAAAGAGAAATGGTCAAGCATGACTTTTATTTGTTTCAGTGGCTGATGAAGGTTTTCTATACAGTCTTGGCTATTGTATTTCAGAACCGTTAGTGAGTGTCCTGCTGTCTTTCGTGAACAGTGGTTTGACAGCTCAGGTTGTCACATACTGTATAATTTTACAATAGGAGGGAATTACTCACAGAAGGCTGTCACTTGAGGAGCAACTTTTGCTGGCTCTGGAATATACTTGTTTGTGTTCTCTCTCTTTCTCTCTCTCTCTCTCTCTCACACACTCACACGTTGACCTTTGAAAAGCAAAAAAGCAGCTGTGGGGCAAGTAGGAGTTGTAGACTGCCGACAGTGTGTCATGCCAACATGAAGAAAAGAAGAATTTAACAGCTCCCGATTGATGTTGAGATAAAGCAGAACTAGGTTAAAGATTTCAATTCACTTTGTGTTTAAACAGCGTTTACTGAATGTAGGGAAATTGCAAGCGCAATAGCTGTCTCATTACTTAAGATGCAATATTAAGAATTTGGGGTGCCCGGTGGTCAGTAAACTACCACAGTGAAACCCCATGTTGTCTAATTGGACTGATCAAAGGTGTAAATTCAGCTTCTCCTGTTATTAAAAAAAAATTCTAAATGTACTTTATGGATAAAGTTTGTTTTCATTTTGAGTTAAATAGAAAAATAGGACAACAAAGCAAGACTAGACTGTGTTATGGCTTAGTATTGTTTTCTGTTACTGAGGTTATGTCTTGTTTTTTTGCCCAGTTTGTTGAGCTGAGTGTGCTTGAAGGGGGGACTTCAGTCCTGTTCATGTAAGCAAACATCCCCCCTGACATCATGGTCTACTCTACACAGATGTATTCCAGTGCAGGCAACTTTGTGAGAGATGTGGGCCTGAGGGTCCATGTTTGTGTGTAAGTTGTTATCCGTGTGAAATTAGAGAACCTTAATACCAGTCTTGGTACAAAGTTTTGAAAGCTCTTTATTTTTACCCCCATATTCTCAAGGTTAGGAACATGCCTGAATTCGAATACACTCCTTGTAAAATGTGTGATTTTCATTCACCCAATCACTCATGTAAGCCAAAAATCTTTTAATATTTGAAATGCAAAGCTCCCGTCTTCATATTTGTTTGTTGTCTCCTGGCGTCTCACATTAAACCGGACCAGGTTTCAACGTTAATGTTGTTTTTTAAACTTGCTCCGTCGGGTAAGTGGGTCAGAAATCTTCATGCTCCAAGTCAATTCATATTTGCCACAACACAACTTGTTTTATTTAATAGCTGTTATCAAATCACTACAAATACTATAGTTAATTGTCATGTTTTATCCACCTTGCTCTCAAACCTGCGGCAAACTGCCCAATACATAGTTGGCGTTTCACCCACATCTTCTCAAACTCCACCCAGCTACACTTTTTGTTTGGTTTTGTTCATCTCAGTTCCAGGATTAGTGCCATCCATTTAAATTCAACAGCTAAGAGCAGCGGTAGAGATTAGAGCTGAAATAAGTCAATTAATCTATTTATTAGTTGGTTATCTGCACATTAATTAGCAATTGTTTTGACAAAGGATGAATCATTTTAATTGTTTCATGAAGGAAAAAAAATCAAATATGCCTTATGGTGTGGCATATTTGTGTGGCAGTTTGTCCATATGCAGTAGCAGGGGGATTTGGGGCCAGTCTGTTTCCTGGCTAATAAGTGTTTTTCATTATTCATTTGTTAAAAACCCTTGAGAGAGATGGCAGATGACTGCTGGACTTGCTGATTAACCTGCAGATCACCAGTGAACTCACTTGGTATAAATCTTTGACAGTAGTAAGATAGCAGACTAATCTGTACTTGGCACCGTGCTGCTGATTCTTTTTGTCTCTATCTGCCCTGTAGCCTGCACACGGACTGACCTTGACTTTTTAATTGAGTCCCTCCTAAGCTGCTTAAAATCTGCCTGCTCCAAACTGTGTTCTATATTGGGTGATCAACCAGCCTATGTGACAACCTGATGCTGTGATAATTTAATCATATCAAAAAGCACTTGGTCCTAATTATAACCTTGGTACCAGTTCAGGAAGCAGTGGACGTGGTGACGTCTGGAGTGTGGCCCTTTAATGGGCATGTTGTGTTCATCTTGTTGTCTTGATGTGTTCTCCTGGTTGCCGTGGAGAAGGCTAGAGCGCCTGAACGTGGTGATCAGGATAATGTTGCGTCACTGCTGACTAAAGGAGTTCGACAATTCCACAAGAAAGACACATTCAGGGTTGATTTGAATCTGTCTTGAGATCAATTATAACTATATAGAAGGCTTAATTTACTAATTTTATAAATCTTTTTTATTTTTTTCACAACATGCATCTTAATTATGTAGTTTGATCCTAATGTTAAAGCAAGATTTTGCTGTATGATAATGATAAAAGTATAGTATAATGTAAATGTATAATGCAAATGAAGACATCTATTCATCAGCATGCAAGGTCATTGATCAATACCATGCTGTTCAAAAAAAAAAAGTGTGCGACTAAATCATGCGCTGGTGTGATCAACTGAGAAAGTTAGTGGCACCAGTGCATTCTGTGGAAAAGTTGATCCGGAGCCCTGTATTTCTTGCAATGTGTTAATATGACGTCTTCATTTCCTGTTTGATCTCATCCAGATGGATGCCGAGACTTTTACAGTGAAGTAAACTTCAAATCGACATGTAAAACTGCCACCACATTTACAGGTTGAAGTACATGTCTCAACACATGGTGCATAGTGACTGACACTAGGTCTCACAAGTGTAGTTTACCTTTACAAAAGACAGTAGTTAGTTACACAGTAGAATGTAATCGCAGCAAATGTGGAAGAAGTCGGTTTATTGCTGTGAGCGGAGAAGTCGTTTTGTGGTTGACCACTGCTGAAACACGAATCATACAGTTGTAGACGTGAATGATGGTCAGTTGTTATGAGTGCAAGTTGCAATTGTGCTACTCTAGAATGTACCACCAGATCTAAAGACTTTTATTATTGTTGTGTGACAGTGAAAAAAGCAAAGCAACCGGGGCTTTTCACAGAATGTCCCAATTATTCCTCTACGCTGGGGAACACAACAGTTATGCTCTATGTTACGAGATGTATACATACAAGGTACTTAGTTGGTGTCTTAATCAGAGGTCACACTTTGAACTGCTGCAGTTTACACCCGCTGTGCTCAGCCTTGTCCTAAAAATGAGCTCTTTTCTGTTTCAGAGGAACCATGGGACACAGAGTGGGCTGAACCAGAGGGTATAGCAGCGCACACCAGTTGTGAGTATAAATTGTGTTTCCAGCATTATGTACATGCAGAATTATAACATAGGGAAATCACAACATTACAGTAGGTAAATAAAGTAATAGTACACAAAATGTTGGGATACATTAACAGCTAACACCTGGTAAAACTTTGACCACAGACCTCAGCAAAATGTTCAGAATATGCAGAAGCAGCTTCTACGACTTCTCAGCTGTATTTGTGTTGGAACCCTGCCAAGCTCACTTGTTTCTTATTTGTACTTTTACTGGCTATATGTCTTGTGTGTTTGAAGTTTGCTTTATTTGCCTCTTTTAAAGGTTTCCCACTGTGGTGTATGACATGGCCACGGCCTCTTCTAGAGCCGAGTCTAGCCATAACCACAGAGGAACATCACAGCTCCATGCCATTGGTGAGTCTACACACACCAGGCTATAATGTACGGGGTGTGGCAGGGTGGCCTCAGGGTCTGGACCCCCGTCCCTCAAAGAGCTCACACTGAATATCAGAATAACAGTGTCAACTTTATGCTGAAAATGTGAAATGTTAAAGGGGGAAAAAAAAACTCACTCGTCTCATCAATCCGTTCATGTACTCACCAGTTTCCTGTGCCAAAATCAAGAGGAAGAAAAGCCTGTTTGGGACTGCTATTTATGTGGAGGTGACAGCGGAGGGGGAGTCGCGGCGCACGACAAAGTCTCACAGCTCCTCCAGTCCTAAATGGGATGAGAGGCTCACTCTGTAAGTTTGCCTCCTATGTGTCTCGGACAGTCTGTGTACTATGTGTACATCTTAGCATGTGGTATACACAGTGTGCTTCATAAAGTTGGGGGACAACTCAAGAATCCACTTTATTATATAGAGAAGATGAAATGACAGACAGACTTTGAAGATTTCTGAGATGAGAATAGACATCTGTCTTCTAATGAGGGGAGTCCCTTCAACATGCTCGTATAAACAGCAGTCGTGAGAGAAAGATTGAGCAAGAGTTCTGCCCTTGGCTTTGGGGCACAACTTTGAGGTCCATGTGTCTGACAGTGTATACCTTACGTAACAAACATGCGGTTGTTGGTTCATCTGATAATTATTCGAACAAGGGCAATGGAAACAAATACTGTATGCCAACACACAGGGGGGTTTTGCCTCATTTGAGATGTGTACAGCTCTGGCTTCAGAACAGCCCAGCTAAATGCCAGAGACATGTCATCGCAAATACTAATTGTCTTGATTGGGTAATTATTGTGAAGAAGACAAGAGTGGTGTGTTTTGCAAGCTGTTATGAACCCTGCATATGGCATCCTGGCTATGATCCTAGATATTTCTCTTTAGGCTGATGTGCTGAACCGTGAATACAATGACTTTGCTGTTGTGTAGTGTTCATTTTGTGTAAGCTCCGAAAACACAGGCGAAGCAGCATTATGTGAGCCGAGTACATCAGTCGCTAAGCCTGCAGCGAGGATTTTGAGGAGGATCAGAATGAAGAGCATCTAAATAATTGTTTTATTTGTTGTTGTTGTTTCTCTTTTCTGAGGAGGAGCCGATACTGAAAGTAGATGCTGAGGTTGTGAATGGGGATTTAATGTGTAATGGACATATATCACCATGTCTGCCTCTTTGCTCTCCACATTAAAATGTATTTACTTGTCCCAAACATAGCCTTTGTGCTATCGAATTCACCCTGTAACTTAAACATACTACTGATGGAGCACACTGGCGCTAATCACATATCACTTGACTGTCCTTTTTGCAATGATGTAAATCTGTGTGCTTTATGTTAAATATTATAATAATTACTTGTGTTATATGTGTGTTTGTTTTTGTCTTCCTGACCTTTTTTAGGAATGTAACACCGCACACACAGGTGGATTTCAAAGTATGGAGTCACAACACCCTGAAGGCAGACGCTCTGATGGGCAAAGCCACGCTGGACCTCATTCTAGCCTTGGAGCAGCATGACAGGAAATGTATGATTTTAAAAAACAGAACCATATTATAATACGAGGTCCGGGGTGGGGTGTGTTCCTTATTTAACAAAGCTGTGGCACAGTTACTACAGTTCCAGAGAACTGTACTATTTAAAGTACTATTTAGTCTGAATTTGGCTTGCTTTATGCTCTTCTTGATGAGACTCTATTGTAATGCCGCCTCCCACACGGTCCCTGTTTTGCCTCTACAGTGGAGAATGTGAAGGAGGTGCTGAAACTGAGCGTGGAGCAGAAGGGAGCTCTGGTTCACGCAGGGGAGCTGACTGTCTTCCTAGATGGCCTGACTGTCTCTGGCCAGGAAGAACTGGCACCGCTTACCAACGGCAATGCAGCAAATGGCACCAGTGAGCTGAGTATATATACGTTAGGGGTGGGTGACACAGGGGGCTGCCAATTTTAATTATCACGTGTACTGATGAATGACGATTAACAATGAAGCAAAGGGGGAGAAATATGCCACAGATACATGTACAGGAAAATACTGGTACACTATCACCTAATCCTTGTACAATCCAGCACTTACCAATTCTTCTTTTAAGAAATTTAGCAAATATATACGCTTGCACATAATATCTGTACGCTAAAATTGTTTTCCCCAATCCACACTAGAAGTCCAACAGAATGGCGATGCCATCCATGAAAATGGAGACTCGTCATCTTCTTCCTCGCGGGCTGCTAACAAGTAAGTTAACTAAAGGAACCAGCATTTTGCGTCATGAGGAAGATTCTGTCTACTTCACTTTTCCTTATATGGTTGTTGGCCTGGTTTAGAACAACTCCTTGAAACCAAGGAATGCTAACAGGCTGCAAAGAGTTATGTGCTAGCATGGATTCCCCACAATGTGCCCTCGGCGAACACATGCAGGCGTATTTGGTCTGTCTTGTCTGTCTGTCGAGCATTTTCTCAACCTTGACTTTGCCCTTCTCCTGCTTCAAGTGTGAGTGCTGCCCCTCTAAGTTTTTATTATTTGTCACACAGCAAAAGTGCCCTTCAGTGAGGCTAAATGTTTTTTTTTTTGTTTTTTTTTGGAAAAGCCACTAAAGAAGCACGTCAGATGGGAGGTTGGGGGGGGGGGGTTTAAGTAGGTTGTGGCTGCCTGGCTCCTCTCTGCATTGCAGTTCCTGAGAGGACTGCAAGACACAAGCAGAGGTATGTTAGCCCCCCCCCCCCCTTGGAGTACCCAACATATACGAGTACTTGGCCAGATAGATTTGTGGTGACGAGACATTTTCCCTCGTCGTTGTTAACTAAATAATGAAATCTTGAAACGTGCGTTCATGAAAGCAAGACAATTAAAATAACATGTACGCATATTCACTTTTTAATAAATTCAAACGTAAAACAGATGATTAGCTCCAGTAAATAACAGGGAAGGTGTGAATTTTTGATAGAATTGTGGATGCATGTATGCTCTCCATGCATTCTTTAGTGTTGATATGGTGTAGATTCACCCTGAACTCGGCCTTTGCCTCCCTGCTTCTGCCCCTAAATGTGACTTGACTTGCAGCTTATAAAAGCGGAGCTAAGTAATCTATTTAACTGGGAGACGAATCCTGGGGGACCCCTGTGCCCTTCTTGTTTCCTCTTTGTCTCTTTACTCGTTGTCCTTTATGCTCGTAAGTCACTGTTACGCTCGGCTTGTCAACTGGCAGCCTTCACTCCGTCTCTTCTCTTTTCACCTCTTTCAACCTTCCTTCCTCCTTTTTATTTAGTTTTTGCTCCTGAAATCTTGTTATTTTTTAAGCCTTACCCACCTTACCTGTGTCTAATGTCTCTTATTTTTTCGTTTGTTCTCTGCTTTGCTTAGTTGCTTTTGCTTTCTTCTTTCCCTTCATTTTAGTTAGCTTGTGTTTCTACTTTACCTCAGACAGTCAACTAGGGAGACTTTTCCTATGGAGCCTGAGGCGCCAGGTCTCATAGCCTGTCAAAACATTTGATTCCGACCTGGCCCTCATGCTGGATACAGGATTGGTTTTAACTGCGTGTGTTCCAACTTAAATAGTTTCAGTAATTGCTCGTCTGTTTTGTCTTTGGACTTAATCTTTCTCTGTGCATCCGATTGTAACACGAAAACAGAAAGTCCAGTTGCCTTTGACGTAGTTAGTAGTTAACCTAAATATATTGAAACATCAGTATATTGATGAAAATACAATATTATACATAAATAGATGCAAATGAACAAATAACTCTTTGCTGGAAGGGTTGTCAGCCTCTGCCAGGCTCTATAATGAAAATGACCGAAGACATTAATTCATGGTGGGAAATGAGTTGGCATCACTTTCTGTGTTATGCTATGCTATGCGTCATTGTGTATAGTAAGGGCTTTTGTGATGTGCGAATATGCTGAGAAGTACAATCAACATTCATTGGAGTTGTCCATACTTATGACCCTTTCTGACTTTTTCTTCTTGGTTGCTAGCTTGCTGGTCTGCCGTTTTCCTTATCGCCGGCTACGAACCCACCTCTTGCCTAGACAAAGCCTGGACTTGAGTCATATGGCAGATTTTGTATTGGTCTTAGTGTGGGCACGTCTATGGCACCGTCTGAACTCCTCCAGCTCATAAAAGGGCCTCTTCAGCTGTGTCCCCGTTACATCACTGTACAATCCTATTATGTCCCGTCCTTGCCCTTACAAGACAATAGTCCCAATGTCTCAAGTCAAGCCTTTTAAGGTTACAAGTCTGACAAAGTTCATGTATTATCATTGTACAACAGGGTTGCACAATGGAAAGCAGTTAATAGTCCCATTCTGCTTCGTAAGAAAACACGCAAAAAACAAACAAAACTGTATTATGTGTGGAGGATACTTCTGTAACGCTTGCCAGACAGCTGCAGGGTGAACAGGCTGTGGCTGGAGTGGGTATTGTCTTTTCAAAAGCTTTTTGGGCTCTTCACAGGCACCTCTATCACCAATATCACTGATGTTCAGTAGATGGGTACCAATGATGTTGAGTGGTTCTAATCACCTGATGTAGAGCACTCCTTTCCTGGGCGGTGCACATCTAATGCCAGTTTGTAATGTTACCAGTCAGGATGTGTGATGCCCATGTCAGGTTGTTGTTTGTGATGTTGATTCCCAAGACCTTAAAACTGTTCACTTGCTCCACCTCAGCTCCATCGATGTAGACAGGTGTATGTCTGAGCCTCTTTTTTTTTTATTTATTTATTTTTTTTCTAAAATCAACAATCAACTCCTTGGTTTTACTGACATTGAGCAGTAGTTTGGTCTCAGAGCACCACTCGGCAAGATTGTTGATTTTCATCTGGCGGATGACGGTAGGTTTCTTCTGCATGCCCTGGGGGGCTCTAATGTTCACCACTAGAGTGCAGGGGGTGTGGCTGCAGATCTGAACTGCCTGGGGTCTGTTTGTGAGGAAGTCTATTAGCCAGCTACAGAGTGAGGTACTCAAGCCCATAATGCTCAGTTTACCAATCAGTTTCATGGGGGAGATGGTGTTAAAGGCTGAGCTGAAATCAACCAACAACATTCTGATGTGGGTGGTGTTATTTTCAAGAGGGTGGAGGGCAGTGGAGACAGCATCCTCTGTGGATATGTTGGCTCTGTATACAAGCCAGGCTGGCTAGGATGTTGTTTTATATATGTGTTGTAAAACCAGTTTGTCAAAACACTTCATCAGACTGGGGATGAGGGCCACAGGGTGGTAGTCATTGAGACTGGACCCTGCAGAATCTTTTTGGTACAGGGACGATGGTGGCTGTCTTGAAGCAGCTGGGAACACTCTCCTGAGACTGTGATGTGTTGAAAATGTCAGTGATGACATCAGTAAATTGTTGGCACATGTTCTTTGAACACAACCAGGTGAAGTTATCAGGCCCAGCAGCTTCACTGGCACCCGCACACACTTAGCTCACATTCCCTAATCTACTGACATACTGCTGCTTCCACTCTCACACTCGACTCAGTTTATCATTCTGCCCTACGATTCATTACCGGAGATCCCTATGACACTCGCCATTGCATTCTGTATCACAGGCAGTCTGTCCTCTCTGGCACAGAGGCATGATAAACACCGGTATCTTTTCATCCATAAATCACTTTACCACTTATGATGCGATTGTTTTCACCAAGCATTGTCCTCTTCTGTTTTGATTTTTTGAAACTGTGTATTTCTCGTCTGGATTGCAAATGAGGGGAACCGTAATGATTTTTTAGTCTTAAATAAAAGTATGCATTACTGAATAAGATATTTTATTGTATGTACTAAATAGGTATAGAATTTCTAAGGTTTAATTAATAAATTGTGTGTGTGTGTGTACCCAGATTCAGATTTGATCAAACTATTTTGAACTCCTTGTGTGTTTTCTCTTAAAGCACAGTGAATGGTACAGACTTGGGCCCGAGGTCAAGTTCCTGTTCGGTCTCCAATGGTGTGGATGAACAGGAGCCTTCCAGCTCTGGCAGCCCCGCCCCCGGTTATGTCATCAATGGAGACGCCACACCCAACTCCACCCCAGTCCACCAACCCTCAGACGGTGACACAGAGAGTAGGACGGGTGAGCTTGATCTTTAGTTTGGTTGACTTCAGAATTGTTCTTGCGGTAATGTTACTTTTGCATTTTTAAAAGGCAACAAATAGCTTTACCTTAATTTATGTACAGAGATAAATAAAAGACACTTGCTGATCAGCCAGTAGATATAAGTTGATGCACGTATACAGTATATATGTAGGTTCCAAGGATGGATGAAGTGTTTGGTCCATGCATGTAAACAGCACCATTGTCTTTCCCTGGCTTGCCTGCAGTCAATGGGGAGTCCTGTGACACCTCGCTTGGGCCGTCACCTCCTTCAACAGGTGAAGTGCTGCCCCCTGCAGAAGACCACGAGGACTGCAATCAAGACACCGCCCTGCCAGACCCCGACACAGCACCAGATAGCACACCTCCAACCCTGCCAACCTCCACACAGGCTCCAGCCTCCTCTTCTCCTGCTAAGCCTATTGATGGCACTGCTGCCGCGTCCTCCACATCTGCCCCCCCAGCACAGGGGGCCCAGACCATCACAACCTCCTCATCATCGTCCTCCTCCCCCCCAGCAATAGAAGAAGCGAATGCTTCAGGCGGCGGCGGTAGCGGCGGTAGCAGTGCAACTGCAACCACAGATGGGGCCAAGCCCAGGCAGCAGGCCCCCAACGCTGGAGCCGCAGACCCTCTGCCGCCGGGGTAAAAAAACACCTCCAGCTGCATTTTCTGCATTCACTTTTTTCAAAGCTATGAATAAATTAAGGGGTATTTACTGTATGTTAGAGACTTTGTCTAATATAAATATTGATATATTTCATTATTAATTAAAAATATATAAATATTGTCAAGTCTTCTAGTAAAGAAGAGGATGCCACCTTATGATGATAATTTGAGTATTAAACACTTAAAACACCGACACAGTCATAATTCATAATGATATAGCAACATCTGGTTTTATATCCATCACTGTCCTCTTTCACAACCCAATGTAGTTTTTTGTTTTCACCCTGCAAATTGTTGTTAATTGTCTTTCAGGTGGGAACAGCGTAAAGACCCGCATGGGAGAACGTATTATGTAGACCACAACACCAGAACTACGACCTGGGAAAGACCACAGCCGCTACCACCAGGGTGAGTGTCTCTCTCCTGCTCGCTATCCGTCTTCACCGTGTCTCAGACATGGAATCTGTAACTCCACCGGGTTAATTTGTGCATTTTTGTGGCTGCCGTACACGGGTGTCCATTATTAAGTAATTTCCGTTTAATTTCTTGCACTGACATTTAGTCTCCATAGGCATATTTAATCCCATTATACTGCATAATAAAGTGTTCTGATTTATGAATATAACTGATTTGCTGAAGGCAAAAAGGTTCATGAAGCAGCATTGTGTTTTTACTGTAATGCACTGACAAAGAGAGGTATTGTATCTGGGATATTTATTTCAAATATCAATTACAAAAGATACCTTAATATATATATATCTTTCTAAGAACATGGGAAGTGTACTTTGTTCCAGGCTGGCTCATTCATTAACTTGTACCGTATCGCTGTCACTCTGCCAGTTGGGAGCGTAGAGTGGATGACCGGGGCAGGATCTATTACGTGGACCACAACACCCGCACCACCACATGGCAGCGTCCCACTATGGAATCGGTCCGCAACTTTGAGCAGTGGCAGAGCCAGCGCAGCCAGCTGCAGGGAGCTATGCACCAGTTTAACCAGCGATACCTCTACTCTGTAAGTCCAGTCCCACCTCCACCCGTCCTCTGCCCTCTTGTTCCCCTAACCCACTGAGAAAATGTTTCATTTGCATTTTCCTGCCTACTAATTCAGTTTGTCAACATTCTAACTTTTTAGTTTTGGTTTTACTGTGGAATTCCACCCTATTTTTTCACAAGCTCGTCACATTTTTAAGTGTGCATTTAACTCAAAACATTCCCCAGTACTTCCCCATTACTGTAGAAAACAGAGAAACACGTGAGGCTCTCACTGAAACCACTTTTACAAATCTTTGAAGATGATTTAGTTTCTGTTGATCTGTGATGTCAGAAACCTCTTTGCCTTTTGTGTGAAGTCAAGAATGGTTCAGATATTGGACGTATTGTATTCTACTATTATCTATAGCAGTGTTCCCAGACTCTTTTATCTGGTGACCCACTTTTTAAAAATGACAACCCATCGCGGCCCAACAGGCTTATCTATAAAGTGTGAGAAGAGCACATTTGTATGTAAATGAACCTTGATGTGTGTGTTCCTCTTGTTTTTTAAATGGAAGTCTGTGTGTGCATCCCTCGTTTTCAGGCGTCCATGATGTCGGCTGAGAATGATCCTCTCGGCCCGCTCCCTCCTGGATGGGGTGAGGTCACATTCTTTCCTTCTCAATACTGCACACATTTTCACTCCGTGTCAGTATGTACTGTTCGTTAAATGGCGAAGTCTACATCACATCTGCACTTCTTGCTGACGGAAAGCACAAATACTGCTCGCTGTTCATCTGACATGTGTTGCCACATTTTGGGGCCCAGTGTCCATTCTGTCTATTCCGATACTGATTCCTGTCTGCGTTTTTATCAACTTTAGAGAGACGTGTGGACTCCAATGACCGAGTGTACTTTGTCAACCATAACACCAAGACGACGCAGTGGGAAGACCCCCGAACCCAAGGGTGAGCTCTTTTAACGATCATCATTCTTTATGTGGAAGGTAATGGGCTTTTTCTGTCCTGCACCACCATGTTACTGCATCGTTCTCTCTGAGGTTTACCTGTGATTTTACTGGCCTTGTTTGGGCCAAAATATAATGTCTTTTTCTTAGACCTGTGTTGACCAGTTCTATGATATTCGTACCAATACCGTGAACATTCTAAGGTAGCAACTGTGGTGTACTGACCTCACTGTATGTGTAGCTGAAGTGGAAGGAATCCTCTGCTTTTCTGACCTGGTTTCTATTAAGAAGAGTGATTATAATTATTACATCTGAACAGAATGTCAAGAATACCGTATAACCCACCATGACGTACGGTAACATTTAATCCACAACAACAAGACACGCATCACTATACGCATAACTCTTTTGGGCTCCAGATTGTTTGCACAATCCACAATCCTTTCACAGTTCCTGTTGTTTTTTGATTTCTCAAGAGGTAAAACTATTCATGAGAAGCATATCCAAATTAATTTGACCTTTTGACCTAAATCAATAGTCTAAATGGCTGATCACACCGAGCTGCATCGCTAGAGGCATTCTGCTGGTGACTCGTCTCTAGCGACAGCTCCCGATGTGGTCAGCCACTGAGAACTCATTCTTAAAAACATACAACAGGTTATGATCTACAGGAGAAGAACAACGTATTATCATCAAAGCAAATGGAAATAATTTGCCACCATCTCTCTACCATGATAAGTTATTATAGCACCATTAACCTTCTGTTGAATTTGTTTGGAAGCTCCTACATCTTGTCTTACGAGGTCATTGTAAGGCCCCGATCAGACGGTGCGTGTTTTAGCAGCCTGGGGCCTTTTTATTTTTGTAATCGTTTTCAATGAGAGCTTATGAGAGCATTTTGGCCATTCGTTTGCATTGCTGAGTGCCTCTCGTGGGCTGACGTCAAAAACAAAACAGCAGGCCTGAAAGCAAATTAGTGCGGGACTTGAGATTTTGGGTCAGTAGTTTTGATTTATTTGACCGATACTATTAACTATTAAGCAGCGTACAGTTCTTGGTTTGTGTTAAGCTAATGTTAGCACTCATTTGGTGGTTGCTTACAAGCAATTTTAAAATCAACGCCGTTAATTGCAAGAAATGCTGTCTGATCGTGCGTAAGATGTTGCAATTCAGTCCTTACATGTTCTACAGCTTATAAAAGTTAGTTAGCCCAAAATTCTCAAAATATGAAATGACCCCCCAAAATATTGTCTTATATTTAAGACAATACATCATATACTGAAGTACCATTAAAAGATCAAACTTGTTCATCAATCCATTGCATTATGCCCGCATTCACTTTTAAGGAACTATTGACAAAGTCTTACTGTGTGTGTGTGTGTGTGTGTGTGTGTGTGTGTTTGCGTGCGTGCGTGCGTGCGTGCGTGCGTGCGTGCGTGCGTGCGTGCGTGCGTGCACAGGCTACAGAATGAAGATCCTCTCCCCGAAGGTTGGGAGATCCGGTACACAAGGGAAGGAGTTCGCTACTTTGTGGATCACAACACCCGAACCACCACTTTCAGCGATCCCCGCACCGGAAAGTCCTCTGTGTAAGAACACGTTTTAAAAAAAGTTCACTTTACTTGATCTGACAGCCTATAGAACGCCAATAATCTGAAGAGCCGTAGCTATGGGAACTTGTGCATTGAGAGCACTTTACAAGGACCAGATGGAGTCATGTTTTGCTTTAAATTCACATAAAGCTCAAGAAATTCAAAGAAGATTCAGAAAAATAATGGTTCCCACAACCATTGTGAATGAACACAGTCGAGAGGTTTATTTTGAAGCCTGGGATCTTAGTTCATCACTGGAGAGGGGCTGTGAATATTCACTCTGTAGAAATTTAATTTCAACGGTTCTGTTTCACGCAGAGACGTTCAGGGAATTTGATGAATTTACTCCGAAAAGCCAGAAAATATTTCTAAATAATAACTTGCTGGGACCCTTCTAGAGCATATTTCACATGTACTACATTTGTTTTTCATTATATGGTCAAGATTCAACGGTTGACACCTGGAGAATCCATTGCATTGCATCTATCGGCTTACACTTGTGTTTCTTTGTTCTTCTCAGCACCAAAGGCCCTCAGATTGCCTATGAGCGCAGCTTTCGATGGAAGCTTGCCCATTTCCGCTACTTGTGCCAGGTAAGCGCTTTCTTTCTCTTACGCCATAACTCTATTTTTTTGCTTTCAGTTACTCGCCTTTATCTTATTTTTCCGTCCCGGATGCATTAATGTTTTGCCCTGTTTGCTCAGTCCAATGCTCTCCCTAGCCATGTGAAGATCACCGTCTCCAGACAGACGTTGTTTGAAGACTCTTTCCAGCAAGTAAGAGGGATTTTCTACCACGGTCCGGTTCCAGTTTAAACTATATTATTCAGCACATACAGTAATGCGATGCATCACAGCTTACATACATGGTTAATTTCAGCTCTACAGTCAATAAATATATGCCAACTGTCCTTTGTCATTTGCTGATGCGGTGTAGCTGATGTGTGTTTTCTCTGTTTATTAGATTATGGCCCTGAAGCCATACGACTTGAGGAGGAGACTCTACGTTATCTTCAGAGGCGAGGAGGGTCTAGACTATGGTGGCTTAGCCCGGTAATATAGACAATAGAAATAGTATAATGTCAATTGAAACAAGCTTCTTCTGAAGTGTAAGCAGTAATTAATCATGTAAAACTCTTGCCACCCCCCACCCCCCTTCTCTACTCTCTCATTTCCGACTTTTCCTCACTTCATTTCGTTTCCCATTTCTGTTCTTACTCACTCCCCCACCTACACACTCTTGTCTTCGCCCTCGCTCCTTGTCTCCGTCTCTCCTCTCGTGATTTTGCAGAGAATGGTTCTTCTTGTTGTCCCATGAAGTGCTGAACCCCATGTACTGTCTGTTTGAGTATGCCGGCAAGAGCAACTACTGTCTGCAGATCAACCCAGCCTCTGCTATCAACCCGGACCACCTCTCCTACTTCTGCTTCATAGGCCGCTTCATTGCAATGGCAAGTCCACATGCTGCCCACGCAACACGATCCTGATAACACCAACACCTACGCAAAGAAGATTAGAAGTGAAACAAGCTGGTTATTTTACATTTGACGTAAACATGTCATGAATTTATAATGTTAACGTTATTGTGGTACAAACGCAATTGAATAAATCTCTCTTTGTGTATCTCTTGCTACAGGCACTTTTCCACGGCAAGTTTATCGACACAGGCTTCTCTCTGCCTTTCTACAAACGCATGCTGAACAAGAAGCTAATACTCAAAGACCTGGAGTCCATCGACCCAGAGTTCTACAACTCACTGATATGGATAAGGTAATTTGTGTCTTTCGTCTGCACAGCCTTCAGATTTTAGACATGTATTCTCTTGACAGTAGAGTGCATGACAGGAAAATTAAGCTCTGAAAGAGGAATTTTTTAACCTGGACATTATTTCTGTCCAAGTGACAAATGACAACAACAATTTCTAATATTGGTCCAGTATTGAGGGAGAGCCCCATGAACGGCTGCTGCTAAACGGGCTGCAATGTAATACTTTGGGGCAAGCGGGCATCGTAAAAGTGCTTTTTTTGCCATGACAGATTGATATTATAAGTGTCTGACATTATGTCAAAAATCCTTCTATCGCCTTCTGAAATCTCGCAAGGTGATGTGGTGCCAGAAGTGGCCAAAACTTTACATCGACACTGCTCTCTTGCCCTCGCAGCTTGTTTCGCGGCTACCGATTACACCTTAGTTACCCTTTGATATCACAGCACTTTACTCCCAGTGGAGCTTTCAATAAAAGAGTCACTTTCTTAAATGAATCAACCAGCACACAGAGCTCAAGGTTGGTCTCAGTCTGTTCCAACTAATACTTATCAAAGTAATTCTTCCTGAGCTACTGTATGTGGGGGCTACAACATGTGGGGCGACTGTGGCTAAGTGGATAGCAGGGCTGTCCTTCAATCGGGGATCGGTGGTTCGAGCCCCGGTTCTGGCTCCGCTAATCGCATGTCACTTAACCTCAAAAATTGCTCCCGTAGCTGTTCTACGGTATAGAAATGTGATAGAATCTGAATTGTAAGTCGCTTTGGATAAAAGCGTCTGCTAAATGACTGTAATGTAATGTAACAATGTATCATTTTCTTTGGTGCGTACCAAGAAAGAAAGTACATAAAATGTAACACTAAGTAAAGATTAAGTGTTCGGAGTGAGGACTGTTGATCAAGATAACGTTGGGACCTTAACCACAAAGACGTCCATACCACAGAGAAACGGAGAGAGGACAGACTACACATACACAGCATTTAAAGAATACTATTCCCACAGAGGGAGAAGAGACGAGATGCTACAAAGGGATGAAGCAGTGTGAAGACATAACATGTTAGAACAGTTAGGAACAAAGATGGAGACTCTGCCAGTGTTTGCTAACTTTAATAAGACAGTCTGATTTTTTTTTTTTTTTTGCTTACGGGTGGAAAGGTAGAGATCTTAGTTTGGTTATTTTTGCAACAATGAGCTCTAATCACCCTTGATTATGCTGTGGCAGCAACGCAATGTCATCTGTCCTCAGGGACAACAACATTGAAGAGTGTGGTCTGGAGATGTACTTCTCAGTGGACATGGAGATCCTGGGGAAGATCACTTCTCATGACCTGAAACCTGATGGCACCAATGTTCTGGTCACTGAGGAGAACAAGGAGGAGTATATCAGGTTCAGTATAACTGCTGTTTCATCATAATGCTAACTATATCTATATATATTTATAAACTTACAAAGTACATTTGTGCTGTGCTTGCAGTCTCATGGCAGAGTGGAGGTTCTCCCGCGGGGTGGAAGGTCAGACCAAAGCTTTCCTGGACGGCTTCAACGAGGTGGTCCCACTTCAGTGGCTCCAGTACTTTGATGAGAAGGAGCTCGAGGTGAGCAGCGTAGTCTGATGCCAGTAGTGCCGTAACAAGCTCCATCCTGTTGGGTGCTGTTCATGACCTGTGGTGTCATGTTTCTAGTGTGTGTTTCCAGTAGCCTACCCGACTCCTCAGAGATTTAATCATTACTTAAATACGATGGAATGATGTGGATGTGTGTAGAAAATCATTCTTTTGTGTGAGAATTCTCTCTACTTCTAATGATGAATGAATTAATAGTTCTATTGGTCATTTATTTAGTTGTATGTGTGTGTGTTCGACGCAGGTGATGCTCTGTGGAATGCAGGAGGTAGACCTTCAGGACTGGCAGAGGAACACGGTGTACCGCCACTATACAAGAAACAGCAAACAGATCATCTGGTTCTGGCAGGTACAGTCACGCACGCACACACACACATACACAGACCTTGCTTCTATATTCCTCGCCCTCGTCTGTTTATAATGGGAAGGAGCAGAATATTCCACGTGTTCCACAGGGCGTTGCACATTGCATAGTTTGTGTTACACAGAACAATCTGAGAAGCCATTGTTGGAAACTGCCACTGAAATATGGCAGATGTGATTGGATGAACCATCTGTCAATCAAACTCTTGCCTAAGAACGTCAGCAGAAGAGCGACAGCTCCTTTTCCATCGAGAAAAGCCTTCAGTGTCTTACTTTGCTCCCCAGTAGCTCCTCACAGGACGCTGGTTTGGTCCGTGCTCTGGCTCACAAACTCATTACTTGAAGCCTGACGACAAGGATTTCCGGGTGATATGTGATCCTCTGATTCTCGTGAGAAATCGGCTGCCGTGCAGGCTGACATTTGTGGTTTTACTGACACAGCATGGCAAATCTTACAGATGACATTTCTCTTGAGTTCACGTTACTCCTTTTCAATGATTAATTAAAATGTGTCATATCATCTGATGCTTAGCAGCCTGTCGAGTCAGTTGTGTGTGTGTGTGTGTGTGTGTGTGTGTGTGTGTGTGTGTGTGTGTGGTAACTTCCTCCCTTGAAGCTGGTGAAAGAAGTGGACAACGAAGTGCGACTGCGGCTCATGCAGTTTGTCACTGGAACCTGCAGGCTTCCTCTGGGCGGCTTTGCTGAACTCATGGGTCAGTGATAGATAGAGACACAAAGAATAACACATTTATGAAATAACCATTCAGAAACCAAGAGCTATGGATACATAATGTCCTCACTCCTCATCTTCTTTTTGTATTGCAGGAAGTAACGGGCCCCAGAAGTTCTGCATTGAGAAGGTGGGGAAGGACACATGGCTTCCTCGGAGCCACACATGGTGAGTGGAGTGCTCTTCCTCTGATTCCTGGGATTCATTCCTCCCTCAAATAGTGTGATTAGATAGTGTTGATTAGATGTTGTTCCGTACATTACTCACAGGTATTAAGTTAACTAGGATTGTTATTTGTTTTATGTTTTACGCTTGATTCTCGATCAGTTTTGCTGGCGTGTTCCAATCACTGCCTCTGCAGATTTGAAACTGATAGAGATGCTGCTTTGGTCTGTTTAATGAATATTTTCTATCACATTACAAGCAAAAAAACATTGAGTGTATGGGAACACTGTTTTATAACTAATTCATGTTTGATTAAGTATCCGATTCTTTACACTGATCTTTCGTCCTTGTTTTTTTTTTCAGTTTCAACCGCCTGGACTTGCCTCCTTACAAGAGTTTCGACCAGCTGAAAGAGAAGCTGCTCTTTGCCATCGAGGAAACCGAAGGATTTGGCCAAGAATAGACGGAGGACTCTTGTTTTTCTCTCCCTCCCCACATCGCTGTTTATTCAGCCAAGTTAAACAAACAAAACAAAAAAAGAATTGCACAAGATAACCACCAATGTATATAAGCTATTTTGTCATTTTAAACCAAATCTTAATTTGCAGCATCGTTTTTGCCGCAATCCTGTTCCCCAGCCCTTAAATATTATATGATACCCCATCATGAAATATGCAAGCATTTCAGCATTTTTGCTCCTCTGTTTAAAACAGAAATCATGGGATATTTTTTTAATGTCCTCCCCTCTGCTGACTGGCTTTTTAAAAGAGACTGAAAGTGTTTTTGAGAGGATTTTATAGTTAAAGCGCGATCTTCTTTTAAGGCTCTAGTTCTATAGAGCTACTAAATGGCAAGAGTAGTTTTGGGGTTTGGTGCCTGAATTTTTTTTAAATTTTTTTTCCCCATTGGACTCATAGTAATTGTTGCAATTTTTGCGTGCTTGCATGGCTGCCTCTGAAGATGAGAAGACTGCTGTGACCACCCTCTACCCCCACCTATACTAAACACACACAAAGACATTTTAGCTCTGTCTCTTAATGAGCTGTCTTACCATTATCATCAGACAGGATGAAAGGATGATCCGAAGCAGAGGATAACCCTCTCGTACATCTGGACAGCCCTGAGTAAGAAGCATCGTCGGATCCTCTCGTGAATAACGGCGCGAGTTAGGAAAACAGACGGTCATGAAGTCCGTGGAGAAATGCTACGAGATCAAAAGGCAAATGGGGAATCAAGAAAAAGACTCTAAATCGAAATGTGTGAATTGGTTGTGTGGTGGCAGTTGGGCCTGATATTCATAGTTCAGATGTTTAAGCCAGGGACACTGGACATGTTCCAGGCCACTATGACTGCAGCCCACCGCTTCAGTTTAAGTGAGATACACACCAGGACGACACACTCACAGTTTTCATTTAAAGTTTGAGCGGTTTGGATAATTGCCACAACATAAGAGACAAAGTACAGACTCTGTGTTCTCTGCTGATTCTCTTTTGCCTTTCTGAATTTCAGTCTCGGGCCGTAAAGTTTCCGATGAAGCCGCCGTGGTTTACAGAGCAACAGGCATGAATGATAATGCTTATTTGATAACATAAAGATCACATTTATTTAAATCCCTCAGTCATAGGTATCACAATAGACAAATCCCCCTGCAGGGCATCTTGCCAAAAACATCATATGATACAAGACAGCATGTGATATTTGGCTGTCTTGTGTTGTCAAAAAGACACCCCCGTTCACGTGAAAGTTCATTTGTACATGTACTGGAAGCAGCTGTTTTCAGCTTCTCACTTATTACCAACCACGATAATTACAACAGAAGCCTCCGAGGCATACAGATCCCAGCATTGTTGCAAAATGGCAGTAAATGTCCTTCAAAGTTCCATGTTTGTTTGTTTGTTCTTTTTGGGTGAGTGGTCATAAAGGAGATGGGCACTGGACTAAGAAAAAAACGTATCAAATTTCATGTCTTGAAAGCAACATCTATATATATAAATATTGCATGTAGTCAGTGGAGTGGAAACACATTTAGGGGTTGATGGGTCTACTAGAAATGTTGGGTTTCTGAAAGTATTAACCGGGTCATCCACCTGTGATGTATTGTTAGAAAATAACAATTGTGTCACATGCGTGTGTATCTGCTATTTGGCTGTGCAGTCAACAGTCTGACTGGAGTGAAACAAAATAACCTTCAAGCCATAGCGATGAGCCCTCTCTCCCCGAGTTCATCCGGTTTAGTGTACTCAGCCCACGTTCAATCTCACTCTCAGGTTTAGTGCTGAGGTAAGAGAGCCTTAGTTTAATAACGATGCGCGAGTCTGTAAATCAGTCAAGATGCAGAAAGAAAAATCAAAACTAACCTTTCACATACAAATAAGAGTTGAGTTAATGACACACTGAGGTGCCACAGACTAAATGTGTGGAGCCCTTCCACAGGGCAACTCCTCGGCAGCAGAAGCTTGGGGACTTGACACAGCATTGCAGTGCTACATGTTGTGCGTTTTTGATTTTGCACCCCTCACCTTCCCCATGTCCTTTCTTTCCTTTCATGCTTCAGGGGACATCATAAACTCTGGTGCTTATTCTTTAGGTCGGTGGTCTAAACGTGGCCGGCCATTCTCCTCATTTCCTCTAGCATTGTTTTTCTCAGACCACTGCAAACAGCAGCAAGCTGCTTCAGACTTTTTCTAGGAGGAGCTTGTGATTACTCGAGCTATCAGTCATGTATATAACATTGTATTCAGCTGTCCCTGTGGAGGGACGGCAGTATGAAGAAAAAACATTTACTGTAGCAAAAGGAGCCGACTTTTAAAGAGTCAACACTGCATAACTTTGTGCTTCCTTTTGAACAGAAACCTGTAATCAAAGAAAATCAACTGTGTATGTGAATATTCATTGTATAAAGATAATGAAAGTAAATAAAGTACTTAAATATTATAATTAATCACACAGAGCCACCGCTCAATTGATGGAGATCTGTGATGCCTTTCGTTCTTATCAGAAATAGACGGGATGTTGATCGGGTTGCCTTCGTCGCAGCCAGTAACGCGGGTGTATTCTTCTCAAAGCTGATTCACGCTACTCTTCATCATTACAGTACGTGATGGCGCAGCAGGGAACTTGCCTCTGTGCCGACTGCAGGTTTGGGCCGCCTGAAGCGCATCCAAACTGTAACATATCGCGTGTAGATACACACTGTAAACACCAACTACACTGTACAGAATGCCCCTTTACTGGAGACGATGTGTATAGAAGATTCATTTTTAATCTGCTTTCACCCATTTTAAAAAGGAAGAGAGATGGATTTATGAGATACAAATAAGTGGATAAACCCCCTCCTCCATAAGCACGCTTGCTTTCTTTTTGTTGTGTGATTATTGGGGGATGAGAGGCCTTCTGCTCAGGATTCACAACAAAACTTATCTTATTCTGTTTTTAGAGAAAAACAACACAATGTGCTCTTGGTTTATCCTCGGTTTTGATTGGATCTTGCCTGTGAAAAAAAAAATTTAATAAATATATCTGACCATCTTTACAGCTGGTTTGAATTTATTCATACCAAGTACTCTTCTTTAATTGGAGGCAAAGAACTAGTGTCAAATGAAATGTGTTGAAAGTATTTCATAGGTCTCATTAAACCGGCTCGGTTCACCCTGTGCTTGTGAAGAAGCAGCGACCACTGTTAAGATGTGGCCAACATTTAATTTATTATTATTAAAAAGAAAACACAGTAAGAGCTTATACTTGAATAGAGCTGACATTTAAATAGTTGATATACAGATACGGTTTGGGAATGAAAGTTGTTACATTTCTTGATTTAAACACTAACAAGTTCTTAAAATGTAATTTACAATATGCAACTTTTACCACAAAGCAGTTCTACTGTATTAATAATTACAGAATCAGCTCAAAAGATAAACATTTGTTAGTAATTATTAACGGTGTCCAAAAGCATCATGCGGTAATTAGAGGTTCATCCGAGATTCTTCAAGAGGTCAACTGCTTCTCTATGGACCTGCCGAAGGAACAAATATACTGTAAGTGTGCTCACATCGGCACACATGATTCATGCGTCAAGATTCCTGGAGGTGTTTCATCTTCCTCACGGTTCAAACTATTATCACGTCTGAGCCAAAAAGGTTCTGAAAAAGCACAATCAAGAGGAAGTGCGCTCACCTCTTTGTCTTCCTGTGTGTGGGCTGGGTATTCTTTTGCTTTGGTTAGAAAGAGCAGTGCCTTCTCTTTGTCTTTCATGCCCATGTAGGTCTTCCCGAGCATTAGCAGATTTTTACTATAGAAGTTCGGATCAACTGGCACACAGAAGTACACGTTAGTTGAATGCATTTCAAACCTTTAAAGAAATCGTTCACACGCACAGTGCTTTTGCTGATGTGAGAAATCTGAGCTGCAGCCAACAAGAGATAAAGCAGTTCTTTCAGTAAATGCCTCTGTGACTTTATTAGTATTTTACCTTCTTCAGCTTTCAGGAAGAATTCCAAAGCCTAAAGAGGGGCAGAAAAACATGACTTCATTGAAATTTGAGATGTTCATCTCTCCAAACCAAAACCAAAAAAAGTGACAAACTAGCTGTTAAATCCAGCCTGAAGCCGAGTTAAAAGGCAGCCATTGTGCAGTTAGCAACAAAACAAAGAGAGCGGTTATAGACGGAGCCGTCCTCACCTCCTCGTATGTGGCCTTGGGTGGTGAAGAAAAAATGACAGCCGCCACCTTGCGTTGGTACCAAGGCAGCTCAGCAAAAGCAAAGCACCTAAGAGAGAGAATGCATACAGATTACCCTGAATGATAAAGCCTCCTCAAAGCTATAATAACATATTATAGAATTATTGTGCACAGTAGTGACATCTTGCAGTCTGTCACATTTTCTTTTACACTGTTAACCTCTAGTGGCGAACAAAGGGAAATGCAACAACATTGCCAAATGCAGTTTTTGCTCCAAAACAGCTCAAATATTATTAATGGTAAATATTTGCATCTTTAAAGGTTCTCTATACCACATTAAGAGCATTCATTTGTTTTCATTCTGTGGGCGTAAAACAAAATGTCACAACTATAATTGACTCACCAGAAACCCAAAATATGGAAGGAAGTGGCATCTTTGGGATTGAGTTCAACAGCTCTCTAGGAAAAAAAGCAACATCTTTCCCTTACTTCACATTGTAAATGTGACACAATGATAACATGGCATTGACCCAAATGTCCTCTCACCTCTAGATGTTTCCTGATGATGTATGAATTTCCAATTTTCACCTTGACTCCCTCGTATTCCCCAACATCGCTGAGACACACGGCGTACCACTGAGTTAGGAGGGGAAGAATGTTGAGTTTGGTCGAATCGGACCTAAATGTCACGATGTCGTGATAAACTTGGCAACATGCTGCAAATGTATGCAAAAAGTGAAGTTTGTTTTACCGTGGTTGTGGTTGTTAAAAGCTCTAAAAGACAAAAGCAGCATGACCACGGATGTTTTATTGTGTTTGGAAACATGTCTTGCTTAGATTTGTGCGTCGTGTCTTGTGCTTAGGAGGCTGTGTTTGTTATTTTTTTATTGCGGGTTATGAGCGTTACTTGCAGGAGGTTTATGATCATTCATTTATGTTTGGGGCCATGTTAATGACCAGACATTCATATATGTGCCTTCCTTGCAGGTGTTGGAGGTGGGTGTGGCAGAGGGTCGTCAGCAGAGTGGAAACACTTGAGGCTATTAGCAACACTGGCCCTGTGTGCCAGTGCACCCTGTATAAAAACCCTCGTCATTCTCAGTGGGTCTCTCTCTCTCCTTCCTGAGACACCCATTTTGGTTTGCATATACACTTTCCACGCACACACTCCTGAAATGACTGACTTCACATGTCACTGTTAGTTTATGTTACTTTAAAATTAATAAATAGTTTGTTAAACTGCTTCGTTGAATGACTCCCTTTCTTGTCATGGCCGTTCGGCCCGGTTTGTGACACAAGGTTACTTATTTTTCTCTGATAAGCCGGATCTGATGGAGGCGAACCAGTAGTGCCTTCTCATTGAAAACCAGCGTCTTACTTTGTGTGCTGCGAAACACTTCTCATCCTTCTCCAGAGCCTTCTTTGCATATTCGAAACCCTCGAACGTCAGCTGCTTCTTCCGTTCGGCCTCCATGTTGGGCTGGACGGACAGGTCACGAGACGCCCGCGCCAGCCTCCACAGGAACTCTGCATCATCACTGGACGGATGGAAACAAAATCAGAACTTCAACTAGTATGCGACTAAAATAAATAACTTTGGAGCTCTCTGGAGAGCAATACAAAAAGACACTGAGGCAGAGAGGGAAATGCACTCAACTTTCCATAAAAACAACTATATGGTGGGATAGAAAATATCAAATAAATAATACAATCCGCCAAAACAGAGTACATTTCAATATCTTCTAGTGGGAACAGGATAAATGGAGAAAAAGTGAGAGACTGAACTCTCTCTTTACCTGTCCTTGTACTGCAGCAGCAGCTGGTACAGCTTCTCCGTCTCTGCACAGCTGTACAGGTAGTCAGCCTGCTCCAAAACCTCCTCTGCCCGGACACAAAACACAACAGCAAATTCAGCCAGAAAATGGTCTCGCGTCCTAATTCACTCGACTAAACTTCAACTCGCTCTCTTTTTCCTCCACGCTCTCATTAAAAGAACTCCAGTATGTGTTTATTAATGACAGTTTGGTTAGGATTGTGACACGACTGTGGTATTCTACACCTAATTCCTGAAAAGAAAAACACACATTTGTTTGGTAAAAACATGTTTGTTATCTCACATCTAGCAGTTTGCCAACTACCTTTCTCTAAAGCGTAGACCACGGCTGAACTTTGCACTCTGTGATAAGCTTCGAAAGCCAGACAGGATAGCGTGGGGAGCCCCAGGAGGAATGCGCCTCTTCCACTCTGTGCACAAGAAAGTGAGTGACATAAAGAACACAATGCAAGGGACTACTTCATAGTTAAGAGGATTAAAGCTGATGGTTATCATTCACAATGATCAGTCTCTGTTGATCCAAGGTGACCCACCACTACCAGAGAAGCAGTGTGTCAATATCAGGTTATTGCACTCGGCCACATGCATTGTGCAGTCTGAATTGGACTATTATTAGTTCAATTTATATTAAATTATGTTCAACTATACACAGTCTTCCTCATCATCGTACTACACTTGTCACACATATATCCAGACACAGAGCTGCGGCTAAGCAGCTCTCTGACAGGGAAAGCCCTGCTGACCTTTTACCTACATAGGCACATAAGCAATTGTTTTTACAATGGCACAATTGTTCTTCCAACGTAGATAACAACACTATCCGATGAGTACGAATAAAAAAGGCATAGTTATTTACAGTCAGAGCAGCGGTTGTCCTTCTTAAAGTTGTCCAGTAGTTCCGGTTTGTCCCCCTGATCCTGACACCTTTTGCAGAAGGTGCTGCCACCAAAGTTCTGCTCCAACATCGTCTCAGCACAATTCCAGCCATTGTGTTAACTCAGACGCTCAATGATCAAAAAAATGAATAGCCATCGCAAACTTAGAGGCTGGTCCTGCAAATACAAACAGGAAACGTTCAAGAGCCCAATCAGAAAACGTTGCAAAAGGCCAATACTTGGGGAGGGTTGTCTCTAACACCAACGCATTGGTTATATTTTATTGTATAATTCCTTTCCCTTAGGTCGTCTGGGACTGGTCTACCTTCTGTTCCCAGAGTCAGAACTAAACATGGAGAAGCAGCGTTCAGTTTTTCGGCTCCAAATATCTGGAACAAAGTCCCAGAAAGCTGCAGGTCTGCTGAGACCCTCAGCTCCTTTAAATCAAGATTGAAGACTTTTCTGTTTGCTGCTGCTTTTAATTAAACCATATTCAAGGATATTAATCAATTTCCTGCATTTCTGCATTTTACTTCTTACACTGCTTTTTAGTGTTTTAATGACTGTTCTTGTTTTTAAATCTCCTTTTCTTTTGCCTTATGGTTTGATGCTTTTAATGCTTTTATGTGAAGCATTTTCAATTACCTTGTTGTTGAAATGTGCTATACAAATAAACTTGCCTTGCCTTAAAAGTGTTACTTATGTAGTTATATTTTAACACACACACCCCCACACACTTTTTTCCACACTAACGTTCGTCGTTTAGCACAACCTCAGTATGCTACATTGCATGTCGCCACACTGATACGTTTGTGTATTTAACAAATAAATAAATTGAATGTCAACCCCAAAATACTTGAAATTAGTTTGAGGGAAAAAAATAACACAATAAACGCTTAGATATCTAGATATATATCTACACAGGCCATCATACGTTAGCTTTCACAGTATTTTAAATTATCTGCATTGAAATATTGCTACGAACGGTATTTCCTGAATGCACCCCCGGGGAGTCGGTACCCTAGATATGTAGTCGACAAGAAACAACCAAAACTCCCGACAGTTCCGTCATATTTTACTGCGGGGATTGTATCAGACAGTTTCACAACAACGTTTCCATCTTTTTTACACTCTATGGTTAGATTTAATTTTAGCACAACTATACCAGACAAACATATTTTTTTGCGTGTCGCACGATTTAAGAGAACAGAAGAAGTTAGCTATGTTAGCTACTAAACTAGTTAGCGGAGCACTGCTGAGAGTCGGCTCCGCCCCTCCACCCTCGGGCTGCCCAGCTGTTCTTGTCAGATAAACACGTATTCATGTTTGACCACCAGAGACAGGCAAAATTGGTTATTTTTTAACAGCTAAACAGGTAAATAAATCAACGTAAGCTTTCAAGTGATATGAGGAAACACTATGTGTAACTTAACTAACTAGCTAGGTGGAGACTTTAGGTTAGCATTAGTTTTGGTGCACCAGGCATCGCCACACCCACTAACTGTCACTGCATGCATGTCCTCATTAATTGACACTAAGAGCAAGATTTTACAATATTTTACGCTACACATTTTCTTATTGTTGTCTTTATTTATGTTAAAGGTAACGTAAGTTATTCTGTGATAACTGCTTAAAGGTACAGTTTGACCAACGGAAGCTGACGCGTTTTTTTTCTGTCATTTTGCTGAGTGGGTCCTGTCAAAAAATATTTTCCTCCTAAATGTAGTAGAGTAGAAGTATAAAGTAACAGAAAATTGAGATATTTAAATAAAATACAAGTAGGCCTACCTTGAGGAAATGTACTTAATCATTCTAATTATCTGTGGTTATCATCTTAGTACAACCAGCAGCCATGGCCTCAGGTGGGGCCCCAGTGCCAGGGGCCACCCATTGTGCCACCAAGGTGGAGCTGACCATCTCCTGCGAGAACCTCATGGACATGGACATCTTCTCTAAGTCTGACCCTCTGTGTGCCTTGTACATCAACACTTCAGGCTCCCACTGGTATGAGGTCTGTATGAGGACACGGGGGGGTTAAATGTCACATGTTATGGATACGACTTGTTTTGATGAGCAATTATATAAACCTTTACATCTAACAAAGACGTACCTGAATGCATTGTTGCCACAGTAGTTGTTGATGATCACTGTTTTATATTTCAATGTATGTATTTGGCTTCGGATTTAGCACAAGTCCTCTTGACATTATGGATTATAAGTGTGTTGTTTTTCTTTGTGAATCAGTTTGGACGCACAGAGATGATCCTGAACTGCCTGAATCCAAAGTTCGCCAAGAAGTTTGTGATCGATTACTATTTTGAGACGGTGCAGAGGCTGAAGTTTAGCGTGTATGATATTGACAATGACACCTATGACCTGGGTGATGATGATTTTCTGGGGGAGCTTGAATGTACTCTGGGCCAGGTGAGCTTCGCCTTGTGCAGTTTTGAAAGAACAGTTTGGGCGATCCGCCACCTTTTCACCGTTCTGTGACGCTGCCAGTATTCTGTGTCCAGATTGTTTCGAGCAGGCAGCTGACTCGCTCTTTGTTGCTGAAGGACAAGAGGCCTGCAGGTCATGGGACCATCACAGTGAGTGCACTCTTTTTCTCATTTGTAAAACATATGACGAGCCATGCCGTATGAGGCCCTCTCTTTGCTGACACTGACACACTAGACAGAAGGGCTGCATTGTGCTCAGGCAGTTGTGACACACGCGTTATCAGATAGACGGTATCTACGTATCTGATAACAGAAAGTTTCTCACCGTCGTTTTATGCACAAAACTCCAATTGGAGGTTTGATACTGTAAAGTTTAGTTAAAGCACCAACAAATACTGGGGTGTATATGTTATGTTCAGGTATTAGCCATCTTTCTGGAATTATATTACATATTGCATAATTGCGTCTGGTGATGCTTATAGTGATCTTTTGATTTATTGCTTCTCTCTCTTTGGTATAATATGATTAAGGGGGACACAGCTAAGTCTAAAAGAGTTATCCATCACTGTTCAAAGTACTAAATCCCCAAACATTTAAGAGTTTTGATTTATTTTGTTTATTTATTTTTTTCAAAATAGATATGTGCTGAAGAGATTACAGACAACAGAGTGGCAGACATTGAGGTGTCAGCCCGCAGGCTGGACAAAAAGGTAACATAGGTCATTTTAAATAGTTAAGTCTGATATCTTTATTATTTCAACTGCCCTGAAGTACCGTTGATTATTATTTGAATATGGATGTATAGTTTTTGTGGTGGTCCGACCCTTTCCTGGAATTCTACAAGCAAACAGAAACTGGATGGCAGCTGGCTCACAGGACAGAGGTAAACATGTTCACCAGCAGCTCCTTTCCTCTGCTGGCTCAGAGTCATCACTGACCTGTGGCTCATTGTGACCCATTCATGTAGGTGGTAAACAGCAACTTAAACCCAATATGGAGACCCTTCCGCATCTCATTGCGGTCTCTCTGTGGAGGAGATGTGGAGAGACCTATAAAGGTAATTTTGTTTTTCGTTTCAGTTATTTGTCTCACTTAATAAGCCTTGTAAAATGCAGCCCGATAACACAACCTCCTCCCCTAACAGTATTTGTTTTTCCTTTTTTAATTGTTTTTAGATCAGCTTGATTGACCATGTTACGCTTATCTTATCTTACTCTAACATACTAATGATTCATTTTGTAATTGCATTTTCTTCTTCATCTTGCAATGCTCCCAAACTTAAAACATGCTGCACCTCCAGCTGGATAAGCGATGTGTGTCCTCACCTGAAGGTGTGCATTTTTGCTACGTTCTTTTTACTCAATTGAGTTACTCCCATTGCCTTTACTGTATTTACAGTGATAACTAGGAGTGACATGTGATTGATTATTTGAGCATGTGAGGTGTGACCGTTGTAGTTTATTGTAAGGTTTGATTGGTTTTGGACTAAATATACATTGAAAATAAGATGAAGCTTCTTCGCTGACCACCAATAGTGAATACTTTTATGTTTTAATAATGTTTATATCACATCTACGGGGATTCGCCGTTACAGTCTCAAAAAGACAGGATGAATAAATTAAGGTTGATTTTCTGAAGTCGTTACTAACATGTCTTGATGCTTAGTTAGTCTCTCTTTAGAACTTTTTTATGGGCTTTTATTTTGTCACCTCTTACAGAAAATCTCTGTTTTTTATCTTCAGGTTGACTGTTATGACAACCATGTCAGCGGCGCCCATGACCTTATTGGGAGCTTTAAAGCCACACTGGCTGAGATGCAAATGGGAACACACTTTTCTCCTGTGAGACTTTTGTATAAATGTGTGTGTGTGTGTGTGTGTGTGTGTGTGTGTGTGTGTGTGTGTGTGTGTGTGTGTTAGATTCCAGCTCTATCAATAAAAGCCTTGTTGTTTTTAAGTTTAACTGGCATAAATATGACTCATGGTTTCACTTGCAGGCTGAATTTGAGTGCATCACCCCAAAAAAGCTAAAGAAGAGAAACTATAAAAACTCTGGAATCATTTACATCAATAACTGCCAGGTAATGATTTAGAAAAAAATGAAATTGAAGACAATTTAAATGATTCTTAATTGATTTCAATATATTTCTTACTACAGTCTTCAATGCATCACTGTACATTGTGCACTGCTGCACACAGTTAACGTATTGTTTACCTTCTTTCAGGTGGTGAAGGAGTATACCTTCCTGGATTATATCATGGGTGGTTGTCAAATCAACTTCACCGTGAGTTTGGAAATGTCAGACACAAGATGTTATTACTTTTATTTATCTTCACAATTTTTAATCAGCAGACCACACGTACTGACTGACTGTGCTGTCCTATTCGTAAAATTAATTCTTTCTATTTTTTAGTAATTACTTCCAGGTAGTGTGCCTCTCTGACAGCTTTATATATATATATATATATATATATATATATATATATATATATATACTCTCATTTGCATTTGGCCATTGAGCAGATCCTCATATCTTGATTCTTATCCTCTCTTGGACTCCGGCCAGATTGCCATTGACTTCACAGGCTCTAACGGGGATCCCAGCTCTCCCCAGTCCCTCCACTACATCAACCCTGAAGGCTATAATGAATACCTGACAGCCATCTGGGCGGTGGGTAATGTCATCCAGGACTATGACAGGTAAACACAAACTCGGCTTCATCCTACATAAAACTACCACTTCAATTCTCTGTTGCAGAGTTTGGAAAAAACAAAAGATGTTGAAGCAGATCCATGCAACAGTTCAGCCAGTCAGATGCAAATGCAACTGGTTGTTTTCTGACTTCTGATTTGAAAACTTGTATAGGATTAAGTTTGATTAATAACAATGGTCACGCTCCACAGGACTTAGTTTTACAGCTTTATTCTACTGACTGATGTGCCTTGTGTAGTCTCATTAATGTTATACCTATACCTGTATTTGTTCTGTCCTTTTTTTGTAGTAACAAGATGTTTCCTGTCTTTGGTTTTGGAGCCCAGCTTCCTCCCTCCTGGCAGGTGTGAAAACATGCTAGAAGTCCTTAAAAGTCCTTATCGTCATTAGCAGAAGGCACAAACTGCTTCATGAACGACTTTTGGTTCTGAACCCTTTAATAACACCCACAAGACTTTTGATTGAATTGTGATGTCACAAACTGTTCTGATACTCAATCAGGAGGATGACATTTTATAAAGTTGGTAAGGATTAGAAACTACTTGTTTCTAACAAGATAAACATTAAGGGGCATACGAATAATGTGTTTTCTGACTTGTTCCATTTTAAAATTCAGAAGTTGATGCAAAATTGTCATGGACTGTCTTGTAAAGCTCTTATTTATTTATTTATTTATCTTTAATTCATGCTTACAGGTTTCCCATGAGTTTCCTATCAATTTCAATCCAGCAAATCCATTCTGCGCAGGTAAGTCAAACTTTATCACAGGATGTGAAGTGTTTGGTTTGTATAAGTTGTTCAGTAATGCAGCATTAGTGCTGCGTGTGTGTGTGTGTGTGTGTGTGCGCGTGTGTGTGTGCGTGTGTGCGTGCGTGCGTGCGTGTGTTGCAGGCATAGAGGGTGTGGTGGCGGCCTACCAGCAGTGTCTACCCCGGTTGAAGCTCTGGGGCCCCACCAACTTCTCTCCGGTTATCAACCATGTAGCCTGCTTCGCCAGACAAGCTCTCCGTCAGAGCATGGCCTCAGTAAGTAGACACATTCCTTTCCCAGCAGAAAAGAGAGAAATCTGAGGACACTCCTAAATCAAACCGTTTTTACATTCAGTTTTGAGAGCAAGACCAGCTGATAGAAAAACAATACCTTAATTAATAGGTAATACCTGTTGTTTTACTGCTTTTGTTCCCTTTATTACCACAAAACATTTTTTTCAGTTCATCTTGCATATATTGTAATAACATATTTCACTTTTTGATACCTTGATACCTTCAAATGTTATGTTATTTCAAAAACATTCTCCATGAGAAGAATATCTGATTTATTTTGTCAAATCTGGTTCATAAAAAGGTAAACAAACTTGCACAATTAGTTATGTAAATCTCACATTATAGGATTCAATGTTGTCTTTGTCAGAGAGAACTTCTGATCACTCATCTGTGATTAAAACATGTTGTTCAGGCAGTATGTAGTAATAAGATGTGTCCTAATGGTCCAAACAAACTTCAAATTGAAAGCGATAATATAAGTTCTTAGTTAAACAAACCAGGAAACAAATAATATCCTGATACTTAATAATGGTAAACTTCATATCTGGCATTGTCTTTTTTTTTTCACTCTGTCCATCTGCAGCAATACTTTGTGCTGCTCATCATCACAGATGGAGTGATCACAGACATGGACCAGACACGCACTGCTATTGTGGAGGCCTCTCGTCTGCCCATGTCTATCATTATAGTGGGTGTGGGAGGGGCGGACTTCAGCGAAATGGAGTTCCTAGACAGTGATGACAAATTGCTGTGTTCACCCAGGGGTGATGTCGCCTCAAGAGACATCGTCCAGTTTGTGCCCTTCAGATATTTTCAAGTAAGCAGCAGCCCATACCTTTATACTGCCACAACAGAGTTATTGTATGTACATATAAGGGATTTTTAAAGGGGCAATATATATAATTCAGAGCATTAATATAGCAGCAAACAACTATTATCAATGTAAAGATATAGTGGAGTAATGTCTACCGGAGCAGAGAATGAAGTTTCTCTGGCTAGCTCTGCACTGTGCTCATACGCACCCACCCTCTGGTTCCCCCCTCAGGTAAGCACTGTTGGCTCTGTCAGATATATTTAGCACTGCAAGCTGCCGGCTCAGCTGTAGCCATGTTGAGAGACGTATAGAAATGCTCCCAATCCTGTACATTGCACCTTTAATGTCTTAATTGGAGAATATTTCTTAATCCACTTAATTATCACTTTGTATAACGGGTGTTTACTGATTTAGAAGTAAATGTAATATATTTAATATCACACATTACACAATTCAGTTTTGTATTACGTTTGTTCTTGACGGGCAGCTCCTACTGCTCCTCCCTGCTAATTACCCTTCACAATAATGTACCACCGCTTGCCTTCTTTTGATGTCATTGATCAACATGAGCTGTCAACAGTACAGATAGCATTGTCCCAAACATGGCTAAGACTAGCTTTTATTCTTGTAACATTGCCATTGCAGGGGAACAGCGTGGCCCTTGCCCAGAGCGTCCTGGCGGAGCTGCCTGATCAAGTGGCCTCCTTCTTCAATTCCTACAAGCTGAAACCCCCGAATATACTCCGTGCTTCTGACCCGTAATAGACAGTTGGGTTAAAGTAACCCAAATACCACATCCTCCCTACTTATCTGCTTCTCCTGCACCCTCTTTCTGCATATCCTGTATAGAATGGCACAAATGAATGCCATTAAATGAATGTGGGTAACAAAGACAAGCATATATGATTTGACTTGATTTTAAAGTTCATAGAAGTAGATTTGTTGTGTCCAAGAGACACGACAGCTTGTAAAGTGCATGTAACCCTGCAAATGTAACGCTTGACATGGTGGTATCGCTTTGTTGATTTCATGTCATTATTTTTCTTTCTTTTCTGCTCTTCTCTGCTGTTACTTTGCACAACCTCTCTATGCTGCAATTCTTAGAGACACGTTTTGTGTCTTAATCACCAGACTATTTGAGAAATATAGTGTGTAGGGTGTTTTCTGTCTGTTTAATTTAGTACAAAGTTTGAGCTTTTTGTCTGATATTGTGGAACATGTTGACTTATTTTGAGGGAATGTGTGTAAGCATAAAAAGTGTAATCTCAGTTTCAGCTATTGTAACATTGGAGATCAATTAGATAAACATCCTCTGCCCCCTGCTGTGAAAACAGTTTGTAGCCAAATGTATCTTTTTTTTCACCTGCATCAGTGTTTTCAGATTATTTATGTTCACAACAAAGACACTGAGTTGAAGATGTTGCCTCTTCTGGCACTGTGGCATTGTTCTGCTGAGGGAAACATTTTGCCACTGGCAGACATACGTCGCATCACGGTACAGTGATCTATATTTAGGTTTATCTAACTTTACAACTAAAATATATTTCACAATGTATGCAACTGTCAGTAAGAAATAACATGCATACTAATAATGAATTCATGTATCCATGTTAGTCATTAATACAGAGTTTTTCAACCCTCGTGTCACTTGATACGAGTGCGGGTCATTGGAGAAGACTAATAACTGCTTTGTAAACTAGCCACACAGTTCAGAAAAAGGTTAAGAAACGCTGCATTTGTGAATCATGAATTTCTTCAAGCTGTTCATTCAGTGACATTACTTAGTTTAGTGTAGTCTTTTGGATTCTTTTATCAAAACTGTTGGGGGTTCCAGTTGGATGGCTGGAAGGAAGAAAGGACTAAAGATGATCAACAACAAAAACAACTCTTGATTTAATTGAATCTGGACGCTGTGTCTATGAATGTCCACAACACTGAACCACAGTTCTCTCATAGTGGGTGTTTGAGGTGTCTTTATGCTGTTGATGCTCCAGTTGTTGTCTGACTGAAGGCTTTCATGACTGGCAAATGTAGGCTTTTGGGTTTTCTGCATGACTTTCTTAAAGTATATCTATATAGGAAGTCTTTCCACAGCTGTAATATTTTATCAAATTTCCACTTTTTTGGTGGTGTTTGTAACGATTGTCTAAACCTAATTATGTATTGTATGTAGCCAAGTGGTTTACCAGCTTTACTATATTTTGTTTAAGTTGACAAAACGGTGGGTGCATCGCTTTCCTCTGCAGCGGGCTGATGGGTGACTGATGGGTGCCCCTCTGGCTGGCTGGAAACGAGCGCAGTGGGCCCCGCCCACACAGCGCGAGCTCCTCTGTCTATCTGCTACTGACAGCTAACACCAAACCACTTCAGCTAGCTAGCTCACAAGGTAGGACGTATAAAGTGAACACTCCTTTTGACAATATGCAGTTTTTTTTGTCATAAAAGTAAATATGACGTTAGACAAAGGTTTTATGTAATAACGTTACTTAAAGCTACAGGACTGCTACCATGTTAAACTTTTATTGGTATCACGGGATCTTTAGCTGAAACAAAAAAGGCGTCAACTCGTTCAAGTTAAGTATTGCTAAGTCAACGTTAGGTAACGTTAGTAATGCTCGTTAATACCCATTATATTTCATCGATTTAACAGCAAACGTGAGTGAAGTGTCTTACGGACGTCCTGCGTCGTTAGCCAACGTTAGTAACGTTAACGGCAACGTTAGCCACAGCTCGGTCAGTTTGTTTTTTTCCATTAACGCTAACGTTACGTTAATGAAATTACGTAAACGTAAATCAATTCTCTTTATAATGGATAGACCACATGATGCAACGGCGAATGTTTTACTGTGATTCACCGCTATGTGGCGTATTATAGATTCCAGCAGCTACGTTTTATTACAACTAAAGGGGCTGTAAGTCCATCATGTGTTTGCCGAATTTACAAAAGGAATCATACAATGTGCTCTATTCGCGATACATTTCTATTAACTGTTAATAAACATATGTATAACAAGCTTTGGCGTCTTTACTGGGTCTTCATAGGCTCCACGTATTTTGGGCGTGTCAACTGGCAAACGTTGTAAAACTACATTGAGACAAAGTTAAACTTGACAAGTAAACATTATTAACGTCCGCTAAACAGACGGCGATGGAGCACATGTTTTACAAAGTACAGATGGCTGCTGCTCTCAGTATAAAGCCGTCGCTCAGTCGGGTGGGTGTGGTCTATAAAGTGTGTAACTGTGTTTGTGTTCGTCAGTTCTTGTGAGTGTGTGTCCTCCAGGCTGTGATGGCAGCAGGCGGACCCCCGGGGCCAAGGGCCCCTGACTGTGTGACCAAGGTGGCACTGAGCATCTCCTGTGACAATCTGCTGGACATGGATGCCTTCTCAAAGTCTGACCCTCTGTGTGTGCTTCACATGAACAGTTCAGGGCCTCACTGGTGTGAGGTAAGAATCTAATCTCATTTTATATTGATACCGCAACGTACATTTGCTGTCCCTTTTGAAAAGTCAAACACCTGCTGTGAGTCAAAAGAGTGTCTTGACTATGTGCAGAAATAGGCGTTGACTCTGAAACGTGTATCTGTGTCAGATCGGCCGGACGGAGAATATCCAGAACTGCCTTAATCCCAAATTTTCCAAGACTTTTGTCATTGACTACTACTTTGAGATGGTGCAGAAACTGAAGTTCGAAGTGTACGACATTGACAGCGAAAACGGCAGTCTGCAAGATGCTGACTTCCTGGGAGAACTGGAGTGTACCTTGGGACAGGTTAGCACACTTTGTTTAGCACAAAAAGTCATCATCACACATGCTTAATCGGCATGCTTCTTTCTTTTCACTAGAGTTGAGCATAAAGTGGTGTCATGGCCGTGGTCTGGGTAGAAAAGATAACTCTTTTGATTTTTTTTTTCTGTCCAGGTTGTGTCCTCAAGGAAACTCACAAGACCGCTTGTCATGAAGAACAAGACACCTGCAGGGAAGGGAACCATCTCTGTGAGTCCCTGTCGTTCAGATTGACAATGACATTACGAGATGTCTGATGTGGTCCTTGGCGTACTGTATTTGCACTTCTTTGATATTTTTGACACAAAGCTGTTTCATGTTCTGTAGATATGTGCTGAAGAAAGAACAGACAACAGGGTGGTGGAATTTGAAGCTGCGGGAAGAAAACTGGATAAAAAGGTATTGATTGCTACTGCACATTTGTATTGTTTTTTTAGAAATTCAGAAATATTAAGATAGCTTGGATACGTAGGATTAATGAATCATTCTCTCTATCATCTCGTGATGTGATTGGTTGCACTGAGGGAACATAATTCCCATAATACTGGAGATTATATATTAATATTTCTGAGTGAGCAGGATTGTGGTGCAGCTGGAGAATGTAGTTTGAAAGGGACTCAGTTGCTGGTCGACATGTTTTTGTTCCCATGCGATTAAAGCCGAAAATCTAGCTTTTAAACACAGTCCGATTCCACCACTTCATCATCCATTAAGGAAATACAAGTCTGGCAAACGATTAACTAAAGAGAACTTTCTCGTGTTAAGTTATTGACACTTTTCTCCGCTCTGACTATGGCTGATAAATGTGCACAATCCGCATATACATGCATTAATATCTCTACGTCCACTGGATTAAAATGAAGGCTCAGTGAAAATACTCAGAGTTGATTTAACTGACTTCATGTTTTCTTACTTATTTCCAGGATTTCTTTGGCAAGTCCGACCCGTTCCTGGAATTCTACAAGCAGGCAGAGACTGGATGGCAGCTCGCTCACCGGACAGAGGTACGGATATAATCATGGTGTCCTCATGTGGTCCAAGGATCCTTGGACAGTGCGTGGGCAAGTGAAGTCGTGACTAAATTTGTATTGACAGTTTGAAGTGTAAGCGGTGAATGCATGTCAACTGTCCAAATGATTTTTGATCGGTGCAGGTGGTGAAAAACAACCTAAACCCAATATGGAGACCATTCAGAATCCCACTGCAGTCGCTCTGTGGAGGTGATGTGGAGAAATCTATAAAGGTACACACACACACACACGCGTTGACTGTAAGACATGGTGACTGATGGCACAATGTTGACCTTTTTACTGTTTGTGTTCTTTCACGCTGCGTGTCGTAATATGCAGGCTTTCTATTGGGGGGACATTTTACAATCCTTCCTGTCTCATCCTGTCTTAAGTAGTGTTACCTAATGTGTAAATGAAATGGTGACTGGAACTCGTTCAGTGACGGATTAGCTTTACTGAATAAATTAGAATTTTCCAAAGTTGTTTTCCCTTCCGTGCAGAAGCAAAGGCCCTGTGAGATTCAGCAGAACTGATACAGGGAACATTACAAATAGGATAATCTTTCTGCCCAGCTAAACCTCAACAATAAAAAGCACACATTTTTGATCCCTGAAGCCTTGGCTCAGCGACCGTGGCACGTGTGGTAGTGTCCCTGAGCAAGACACTGAACCCCTGGCTCCCCGGGCACCTGTCATTGGTAGCCCACTGCTCCCTATATACAGGGATGGGTCAAATGCAGAAGGCAAATTTCGTGTATGTGTATGTGTATATGACAATAAAAATGGTTTCTGGTTTCTTTTCATGTTGTCACAGACCGACTGAATCAAGGCCACAATGAGGAGCCTGCCCATGTTTTATTGATTGCCTCGTGTGCACACCTAAGGGTCTGATAATCTTGGCACAAATAAGGAAACTGTATGTTAGCATTAGTTTATGTGTGTTGTTTTTTGTTTCCAATCCTCAAACCCTGTAAAAAGCACACTTGTCAGGAAGGGATGCTTTCCAGTCTACGGTGCAAGTGAGTTCACTGTCTCCACTGTGAGTGCTCTTCACGTGAAGGATGCCGTGTCTTTAACGGGACAGGCCCAAGTCCTTAACGCATCTACGTCTGTCTTAAAGGAGTACGTCAACAATTTCAGGAGTTTGGCTCATTGGTCAACTTACCTGTTAAATGATCAGAGCATCATTTAACAGGTAACTAGCGTTCATTAAAAATGGATTAAACAAGAACAGGAAGTATTTGTAAAGCTAAATTATAAGTCAAGATATATAAGTCAAACTGGTAGTTTTTCTCAGTTAACAAATAATACCAAAATACAACACATCAACGTGTACTAATGTCCCTGTTTACATATGATATATGAAGCTAATGTGTGCTAGAACACTGTGAGCTAATGTGCTGTTGATCACAATAAACCTGGCTCCATTCAGTATTTAATGTTACATTAACATTATGTTTCAACAGGTAAGTTGACCAAAGGGAAAAATCCCCAAAATGTAGATGCTTTCTGTTAAGATGGATTCCTTCTTTAGTTATCCATTACCATTCTTAGCTAATCATCTCGTAGACTGTAGCATATGAGATGGTTGCTCCATGCTGTGTGTAGACATGTTTCCTTTAACACTGAAGGTGCTCAGAAGCTGCAGGGTGCAGATTCTGAGCAGGTACTCTGTGTGACTTGCTCTAAAGGAGGTAGTTGGTCCTTCCCCCTCTCTTTTTTAGCCAATTAGAAGGCTTGCGTGTGTGTGTTTCTGTTACATTTCTTCGATATCAGGGTGTCGTCTTACAATCGAAGCTTCACCCCATAGCATGCTTTTTTTTTTTGACTCATTTGCTTTGATTTTCACACAGTGATGCTAATCTATTATTAATTCTTTCCCCCTCAAGAGAATTAACTGGATTTGTCTTGTTTCTCCTGACTATCTGTGTTTCCTAGGTAGAGTGTTATGACTACAACAACAGTGGATCTCACGACTTTATCGGCTCATTTGAGACCACACTCTCCCAAATACAGCAGGCATCACAAACATATGCGGTGAGCTCTCTCTCTCTCTCCCTCTGTCTGTCTGTGTGTTCATGTGTACATGGTTGTTAGTGTTGGCATTTTCCTGAACCATAAACAAAAAAAAAAGGCTTCTCCCACATGTTCTTTCTCATAACAAGCATTATATGAAGCTTGGCAGTGATGCTTATGTACCCTTGTGTGTGTGTGCTCCTCTCAGGCTGAGTTTCAATGCATCAATAGCAAGAAGAAACAGAAGAAGAAAGGATACAAAAACTCTGGTGTTATCGTTGTAACGCAGTGCAAGGTACTGTGGTTTGAATATTCTTTTTCTTTCTGAACGAATAGTTGTTTTTGTTCAGTACATGCGTACTCCACATGAAGTCAGTTGTGTGACGTAGAGATGTTCAGATGACAGTAGATGCTACCTGTACATCAAAAACATCGTATTCAGACGTGCACAATATTATGTTATAACATTCAAACACCACTACAATGCAGTACCTCAGCATGCATGTTGTTACATACGTTTTTTGCAACAGTTCTATGATTTCTGTCAACAATATTTATTTTCAGATAGTGAAGGATTACACGTTTCTGGATTACATAATGGGCGGCTGTCAGATTAACTTCACCGTGAGTGCTGCATCTTTTTATGAATCTTTGAAGAAACACTGAAAGAAATATCCCTGATATCTACATCTTACGTTTTTTTCTTTTAATGACATTGTATATTGAGGATTTAATGTTTTCATGAAGCATTTATTATGATGTTGTGAAAGCATTATCCTATTTGATTAGCTCTGTTTTTAATCCATCCCCCGGGGCAGATTGCCATCGACTTCACAGGCTCTAACGGGAACCCCAGCTCTCCTCAATCCCTCCACTATATCAACCCCGGAGGCTACAATGAGTACCTGGCTGCTATCTGGACAGTGGGGAATGTCATCCAGGACTATGACAGGTACATGGATTGTTATACATAATACATGTTATACATTATACATAAAGTTTTACGTTGGTAAACAAAGTAGTGGAACAATACACCATAAATCATGTTTTATTTCCTGTAGCAAATTTAGTCAAAACACCAACAGTGAATGTGAGTTTTTTGTGGATTCACTGAAGTTGTCAGATTAATTCTAAAGACTGCAGCAGCACAAGGTTTAACAGTAATCATCATCTCTCAGGCACAAAATCTGTTTTTTAGTCAGACCAGATCAGTCTACACGAACTATTCTCTCCTTACAGTGTATCCCGGGCAGATAAAGTAAAAATCCTGTACAACTACAGTGATCAGACCAGCACAGACCAGCTTTCTGCAGCACATGAGCTAATAGGAAGGGAGATGTCCCACCTTAATATCCTAGTATTCCATGTTTGTGTATTATTGTTTATCGTACAACAATCAACATAATTTGCTCTCTCATGAAGTTAAATGATACAATCGATGTGAAAATGTGTCGGCCTATTTAATATAAGAATGCAGGGACAAGCATTCAGAGCACACGGCTCTTACCGTAAACGTCCCGTCATGTCTGAATGAATCTGTGAGGAGCATGAATGTAAAAGGTTCCTAAGGGCTCTAGTCTAATCCTTTGTTTATCTAAACTTACTATGACAACAACACCTGTTTTCTTTCACTTCCTGTAGTGACAAGATGTTCCCTGCGTTTGGATTTGGAGCCCAGATCCCTCCTTCGTGGCAGGTGATTGTTTGTGTCAGTTCAAACATACTTGGACGTTGGATATGTTTTCAATACATTCTCTGATGCATATAAAAACTGTTTGTGTTCGCAGGTCAGCCACGAGTTTCCCATCAACTTCAACCCATCAGATCCGTTTTGTGCAGGTGATGGTAGACTGAAGCTAACGTGAACTCACACTGCTGTGTGTTCAATGAGACCGAACGGGACATTAGCTGTTCACAGATTTGGTTTATCACAATATGACTTGAGATTGGCATAATTTGTTCTTCCGCAGAAACGTGGTATGGGATGTTCAAATCATACATGTAACTTCTACAGCAGAAATTTTGATTTTCAATAGTATATATCAAAAAGTGTCACCTTTTCACCAGTAAGTTGCATTGCTCAGCAGTTTGTCCTTGTCCCATACATTTGATCGCCATGTGGCAGCGTGCTGTCCATATACGATCATGCTGAATTTCAGGCAAATATGTATATAATAATAATCAATACGTCCCATAAGACTGAAGTTCTGATCACGTGTGTGTGTGATTTTTAGGTATAGAGGGTGTGGTCCAGGCCTACCAGAAGTGTCTGCCCCAGGTGAAGCTTTACGGCCCCACAAACTTTTCCCCGATCATCAACCACGTAGCCCAGTTTGGAATGCAAGCCATGCAGCAGAAAACTGCCTCTGTGAGTTGCTGGAAGTAATATTATAATTGTGTCTGTTGTGTGCAAATGTTTGTCACTGTGGTTTTGAAGTAGCTACTAAACTGAGACAAAGTAATCTCGATCGCTTCTTCTTTTCCACACAATACCAACTGTTCTGTTTCTTGTGTTGTTCCCTCTCATGTCAACGTTTCACAGCAATACTTTGTTCTGCTGATCATCACTGACGGAGTGATCACTGACATGGATCAGACTCGCAGCGCCATCGTCAACGCCTCTCGCCTGCCCATGTCCATCATCATCGTCGGAGTGGGCGGGGCCGACTTCAGTGCCATGGAGTTCCTGGACGGAGACGATGGGAATCTACGCTCTGCTGCGGGCGAGGCTGCCATGCGGGACATCGTGCAGTTCGTGCCATTCAGGCAGTTCCAAAATGTAAGCTACATCATGAAGCGACGTCTTTGTAGGCATGCACCGCATAAGCTTCTTTAAAAATGAATGAAGTAATGCATACATTTGAATGTGTTATACATCTTATTTCAGGCAGGCAGTGCAGCCCTTGCCCAAAGCGTACTGGCAGAGTTGCCTGACCAAGTGGCCTCCTTCTTCAATTTATTTCACCTGAAGCCCCCCATCGATCCCAGTCCTTCCTAGAAATGTAGGAGCACCCCCAGCCCCCCCATTCCTCTCCGTCTTACCCGCATTTGATCCAAAGCTGCATGCATTTCAGTAGGAGCGTAATTATACAACCTAGTTTGCTTAATTAACCACCCTGTTTTTCTTTTTCTGGTGTTTTCATAACTTCCTGTAGTCTCTACTGCAATAGGTGTTGTTACACATTGATTTTGTACGGATCAAACAAGATATAACATTAACACAGCATATTGTATAAGCTTTTTCCACCTATTTCCTGTGCTATGTGAAGCTAAATTAACCGGCCATGTAGTTAGTGTTCAGACGTTAGAGAGCAGTATTAATCTTCTCATCTAACTCTCTGGTTATAAGTAATAAAACATATTTCCCATAATGTCCAACTATTGCATACAGAATACATACCAATACCATTTATATGTTGGGGGAAGTATGTTGATATTACACTTGTATAATCTGTGCTAGTGTAGTCACTCACCTCATTAGCATAATTTATTTGGGCAGGTTATTTGCCACTGTCAGTGTAGAAACAGAGATGTTCAGCGTTCACCTGCGTAGTCCTGAGCTCCTCACTTGTGGAACTGACCTCTAGGAAACATTCATATCCTGATCATACTTGAATATTCATCCAATCAGTGCAACACACAGACGCCTGCAGCTCATCTCCGCCGCTCACCGCTTCTCTTATTTGGTTCTCTCCTCTGCTGCTTCTCTTTAGGGTCCTCAAGAACTGCTCGCTCAGAGCGTCTTGGCAGAAGTCCCGGGTCAGGTGACGAGCTTCTTCAACACTGTGAGTCTGAAGCCCCCCCACGGCGACACGCTCCCTGACCTCTCAGCATCAGCACCCCCCCAGTGACCAACTTCTCCCCTCAGGATACCACATGAGCATGCAGCATCCAGTCTGGCAGTCATGCTACGACTTGTAAATACTATGCAACAGTAGTATAAAGCCATAGTACACAGATATTGTGTACATTTTCTAACATTTACTAACATGTACTTAACTTAAACATTTATTGTGAGACTTCTATGTGACTCAAGTGCCAGGATTGTTAATTGTTTGATTGATCTGCATTGATTTCAACTAATGTGACTTGATTTAAGGTCCTTGGTCCAACCATCTCATCAGTCTGTCTGAACGTGTACATGAAAGGGCTGGAGTACTTAATGTGTTCTCCGTGCTTATGCTTGTATTTCCTCCAGATCGACATATTATATAATAACCACCTGTATGTTGCTTCTCACACTTTAATGTTTCCTTTGAAATCATGGATTTTTTGGACAGATCAAAATATATACTGTATATCAAATACAATTCAGTAATGTTTACATAATGGATGAATAAGTTTGCCTAAATTCTTAACTTTTGTAGGTTTTACGCTACCAAAACAATTCTTTTGTACACTTGCTGTTTTGTATGTCAGTCTGTTTTTTAAAAATTCTGTTCCACCATTTGATGCTAACATATTGTTTGAGTGTTAACAATGAGAATCCCTAGAAGTGATTGATTACATCAGTAAGGTTCATGCATGCAGCTATAATGCATGTTTGCACCGATGTACATTAGAAGTTCACTCCATCTTAAGAGATCGTAAAACTTATCACTTTACTGACTGTCAGGAAAATGGCCTAATACATTTCAATAAGTGTACATGTATATTTAATATGCACTGATCACTGTGCCATTGCCTTAATATACTTTGTCATTGAATTTGTTTTATTGATATTTTATGTAAATATATGCAATGCAAGAAACAAAACAAAATGTAAGTCAACCTACAAAATAGCCAGCTTCTATTTCAGTATTTTTTAAATAAAGATATTAGATCATTTAAAAATATTTTTTGTGCGTTTTGTTTACCACTGCCTTCCTGTCATGACATTAAAGAAGTACTGTATGTATTTTAACAAAGTAGTGATTTATATTAATGACACATTGTGTAACACAACCAAAGTGTTGTAACACTGGACTTTGTCCTTGGATGAGCATCTAAAGACAATGAACACACTTCCTTGTCGGTTCTTAATGTGCGCACGCACGCGCGCGAGCGCACACACACGTTTATTGAGCGACACTGTAGTCACGATGCAGCTATACCTATGTAAGAGGCCTCGCCTCCAATTTATTGTGAAAGTTTTAACCGGAAGTGTTGGTAAAATATTAGCTTTGACTTTACTTTTAGCTGAAGGTTGTCATGATTGTACCATCATGTGCGTAAGTACAGTCATGTTCATACTGATGCTAATACAATGTGTACCTTGTTTACCAATGAAATAAAGCCCTGGAGCGATCCGATAAACAGCCCTGCAAAGGGGCGTTTCTGTCCTCTGATGGCCACAGTGTGTAACTGCAGACCAATATTAAATTGATCAAGTTCCCGTCCATGCAAAAGTGACTATGAGTAATACAGTAAGACTTCCGGTTATGTGCACACTACTGAATCTTCCGGTGATCATTTCAAAATAAAACGTTCAAACCTGACAGCGATGCAACTCGCTCAGTGACCATCAGAGTATGGGGAACGTTCATTACACATCAACTCTAATTATAAGAGCGTCATGGCGGATATAATAGTTTACTACAACTACCGGTGAAGAAATCCAAGATAAAAGTAAAAAACAATCAGGTGGTAAATTCACGCCGTGACTATTTGAAGCTGGATTGTTGTTGTACGTCTTTGTGGGCGTAACTTTGTCGTGTTGACGTCAGAGCTCGAGGAGGAGAGCCCAGACACACGTCATTGCGTCACTTTGAGAGGGCGAAACCATCCTGCTAAGCTGTCACGTTCATGTCGAGCAACTAGAACCACCCAACAAAGTATTTTCCAATTGTGAATCCAAACACTTTTAACGGTAAGTTTGAATTTAAATCACCAACTACTATTTGGGTCAAAGTTAACGAGCCAAACCAGCTGTTTATCAATTTACTAAGTTATCAATAACCAGCCTGGTTAGCTCGCTAGCGTTCGTCGTTGTACTTTCTCTTATTGTAACGTCAGCCCGTCCGCTTTTTCCTTCCGGCTGAACCTCATTAATGCTGAGGTATTGTGTTACACTTCCCGCGAGACGGTTGCTGGTTCACCACACATGTTTGAGTGAGGCACCGCGGGTTTAGTGTCAATTTGAAGCCTCAAAACTCTACAATTGATATTTGTGGCGTAACGTACGTTATCACAACGTCACTCCTTGTCACTGTGTTGCCAGCTCGCGTGAAGTTACCGCCCCCAAAACAAAATATTGTATTAATGGAAGTTCCCTTCTAGTGGTAACGTCAGTGTTGAACGGTTACACCCCTTTCTAGGCTGTTAAATCTTGTCTTACACAGACCTAAAGAAATGCATTTGAATAACATGTGACGTTCATACAGTAATGTCCCTCTCTGCCTGTCCTTCTCCAGCTCGTTACTAGTCAGACAGTCTGTGGACAGACATGGCGACCCAGTGTGTGACCAAGGTGGAGCTGACGGTGTCCTGTGAGAATCTCCTGGATAAAGACATCGGCTCCAAGTCTGACCCTCTGTGTGTGCTTCAAACGAGCAGCTCTGAATCCCAGTGGTACGAGGTCAGTAGGATGTCTGGATCTGGATTCATTCAACATCCGGGAGCTCACAGATTTATAGTTTCTATTCGTGAACTGTTGCCCTAATCATAACCATGCTGCCTAATTCTGCTTGATTTAATTTTGAACATCAAACACATTGTAATCAGTCGGTGTTAAACAATTATTCTTAAGCATCTTCCCCTGCTCTGAGAAACAGATAATGTGGGATATTTTAAATAATAGGTTTTACGTAGGTGTGGCAGTTATGTCACTGCTGCACCTGTAAGAGAAAATCTCAGAGCAGTGTTAATCGTTAACCCCCAAATAGAAAAGTCAGTTGTGTAAAGCAGCAGCAGTCACATCATGTCCATTTCCTGTTTCATCAGTGCATGTGGGCCAATACATTCTACTGTTTAAATGTGTGCACGTAGCGAAGCATAAAGCAATCCGACCTTTCACAACAGGTGGACCGCACAGAGAAAGTCCAGAATTGCCTCTGCCCAAAGTTTGCGAAGAAATTTGTCATCGACTACTACTTTGAAATAGTGCAGAAACTGAAGTTTGGGATTTACGACATCGACAACAAAACTGTTGACCTGAGTGATGACGACTTCCTGGGGCAACTGGAGTGCACCTTGGGCCAGGTAAGTGTTTGGCTCCATGTTGGGTTGAAGGTTTCAATTCCTTACTTTAAGTTTCACCCAACAAAGTTTGTACATTTTTGGTAAACCAATCAGTATAAAGATTCATTATAAACTGACGTAACTATGGCTGTCCCTGACCAAAGAAATTCTTAGTCAACTAACACTCTAATGAATTAGTTAATTTAATCGACAGATCTGTAAAACTGTCAATCAGACGGGTGCCGGACATATTGTGTGCTGTAATAACACAACTGTTACACATCAAGAACTAACGTCCCTGATAAACAGTTGCTGTTTCGGCTCTCAGTGTAATCTGACCCCAGATGTTCACTGCCTGCTTGTTTTGCATGCTTGCCTCATGGTTAGGAGGCCGCTGTGTTGCACTCATCCACTGCTTTTGCTTTTGCTTCTTCTTTTGTTAACTTGCTCTTGTATCTGCTTTTAGGTTGTGTCCAGTAAGAAACTGACCCGGCCACTCGTCTTGAAGAACAAGTCCCCTGCAGGAAAAGGGACCATCACAGTGAGTGATGGAGAGAGCCAGAGAGAAAGGTGGCGGTGTTGTTTGCTTTGTCCTCTGTTGTTTATCTTCTCTTCTCTTCACAGATCAGTGCTGAAGAAATAAAAGATAGCCGGGTGGCCAACTTTGAAGTTGAAGCAAGGAAACTAGATAACAAGGTAAGTGTGATTCTTTTAGAAGTATAACAGGCTGTTATTCATTTTTAAATATTCAGGCACATTATACTTATTGATGTGTTTCATTACTTTATTTGTTTACAGGATTTCTTTGGGAAGTCCGACCCGTACCTAGAATTCTACAAGCAGACAGCAACTGGATGGCAACTCGCTCACAGGACCGAGGTACGAATGACAGAGAGCTGTGGAAAGAAAGTTACAAATCCTAAACAAGCGTTGTCATATTAACCTTTCATTCCTTTCCTGCCGCATGCCAAATACACATTGACCAGGGAAAAGTGCGCTGATTAAGCTAATTAATCCCCTTTTCCCCTTTTTAATGTTAAAGTAGATTAACAATAGGTTTACAAACATCTGGACAATATTTCTGACTGCAGAAACGACAACTAAATATGATTTCAGTTGCCTTTTTAAGAATCTGCGTCAGTTCCATATAAATTAGTTCTGGATGGAGTAGTCTGCACCGGTATGATTGTCATGAATTCTGTCTTCAGGTGGTGAACAACAACTTGAACCCAACATGGAAACCCTTTCGCATCCCCCTGCAGTCTCTCTGCGGAGGAGACCTGGAGAAACCGATAAAGGTACCCGAAATACACTTCCTAACCGTGATCCTTGTGGTTGAGTGGAACTCTGTGTTTTCACTGTCATGACATAATACAACCCATCTGGAATGCGTGAATAGTCTCTCTCAGATATCTCAAAGCATTGTTGGAGTGTATTTAGTACTAGCTTGATGATATATATTTCTTGAACTTCTGAAGCGCACATGTCAGGAAGGAAGCTGTTTTCAAGTTTACAGTACAAGTGAGTTACCCAGTGTGTTACAGTGTTTGTCTTCTTTCATCCTGCCATCACTTAACGGGTGAAGTTTGTGAATGGAGTAGAGGGGGGGGGGGGGTACACACGACGATGCCTGAGTAAAGTCGCAGGCCCTCCAAGTTTCCTTCATCCAACACGATCGTCTCATGAAACGGATTTGTCTGAAACCACGCATTCCTCTTTCAGTCGTCTGTCTAGTACGCTAGTGTTACAAAGAGTTCTGTTCTGAATCTCACTTTTGCATGTTTTTGTTTCTTCTGTTTTCTACATCTCCGGTTTAAAAAAAAAAAAAACAACAAAAAAACTAATAAGCTATGTTCACTCATAAAAAATACCATGTATCACTGCTGTCCAGATAGTTTGGATCATATTTTCTTCACCTTTTTCCAGGTTGAGTGTTATGACTATGACAACGATGGCTCCCACGATCTTATTGGTGCCTTTGACACCACAATGACACGCTTCCAGCAAGCATCACGAACGTCTCCGGTATGTATGTGTGTTTGTGTGTTTGTGTGTGTGTGTGTGTGTGTGTGTGTGTGTGTGTGTGTGTGTGTGTGTGTGTGTGTTTACATTGTTTGTTTGGATGTGCAACAGCCAATATTTCAAACATTATTTCAACATTCTCAAGCAGCTTGGAGCTGCTTATTGTACTTATATTTGGTGTTATTGTAATTAGTTTGGGTTTTGGGGAAAGTCCTTGTGAATTAGTCTCGCTAAGAGCCCCGACTAGTGTAGTTCCAAGTAAAATGTAAATTTCAAACACACAACTTTGACTTTTAAGGGCGCCTCACGCATTCACACCCACGCTTTTGTGTTTTGTCCTCAGGCAGAGTTTGAATGTGTCAACAGTAAAAAGAAAGAGAAGAAGAAAAGCTACAAGAACTCTGGTGTTGTGAGCGTGAAGATATGCCAGGTATAGACTGTTGCATTGTTCTCTTGTGTGATTAGATTGCATGCTCTCGAATACTCTTTTATAAAACTTATATTTTATCTTTCAGGTGGTGAAGGAGTATACCTTCCTCGATTATATTATGGGAGGCTGTCAAATCAACTTCACTGTAAGTCTTGTCTCTCTATAAATGCCTCTTTGTTATTAACTTGTATTCTTGGACCACTAATAAGCTCCGCATGTCTGCCGGCTCCATGAATGCTTTTTGCAGGTGGCTATTGACTTCACAGGCTCCAACGGGGACCCCAGGTCTCCTCAGTCTCTGCATTACATTAGTCCTCAGGGGGTCAACGAGTACCTCTCTGCTATCTGGTCTGTGGGCAACGTCATCCAAGACTATGACACGTATGTATAACACATGAAACGCACTCTAAACGTCATGTGAAGAAATACCACGTCACCAAAGTTCCCCATCATTTATATGTAAAGATTTTCCTAACGTGAGATGACCCGATGACACAACTGTATTTGCAACGTAGCTTGCATTTCTTTATGGCTGGAATGGTTTGCCTTTAATATACATAATAATCTGTCACTAATGTACTAATGATGTTTCTTTCCTTCCTGTGCAGCGACAAGATGTTTCCTGCCTTTGGCTTTGGAGCACAAACCCCTCCCACATGGCAGGTAAGACTTATTAAAACTACGAAACGCACAAAAAAGATTTGACTGCTGTTTGAATCAGATTGAAAAGTCATACAGTAGTTTGACACAGGAACTGAAATCTGATGGTGTTGTGTTTCTTTAGGTTTCCCATGAGTTTCCTCTCAACTTCAACCCAGCAAATCCCTTTTGTACAGGTATGTATATAAATCATTGCACAGAATGTACATTTAGACAGTTCTTTACATATGCAATTGTAGACAATGTGTAGTGTGTTGACACAAGCATGATCCCTACTGTGTGTGTGTGTGTGTGTAGGCATTGAAGGTGTGGTGGAGGCCTACAGGGCGTGTCTGCCCCAGGTCAAACTCTACGGTCCCACCAACTTCTCCCCTATCATCAACCATGTAGCCTGCTTTGCTAAGCAAGCCCTCCAGCAGACCACTGCATCGGTGAGTATTTGCCTGTTTACATCAGTGGTCACTAGTAGGCGGACCGCAGTCCGGATCCGGACCCAGAGCGCGCTGTATCCGGACCCTGGACCTAAAACCGATAGATGATTGAGAATTATTCAATTTTAATGGAGCACTTCTATTTTAACCGGCACAGCTTTTCCAGCCTTTACGGCACTCGTTCAGCAGCGCAGGAAACACAACGACCAATTACATGCATGTCAATCCCATCACGTGATGCTGCTCAGCCAATCAAATACGTGTATTCTAATACATTTTCTAGCTCAAGTGAGATTTACACACGAGAGAGACGGGGCGAGAGAACGAAGAGTAGGAGAATAATATGTAAGTCAGAAGTTATTTCACATGACGTTCTCCAAAAAGAGAAAAGTTGACAGCGAGACCAGACACTTTAACCAAGAATAGACAGACTCTTATATATTCATTCTTCCCACATCAGTTCAAAACCAGTAAGTCTCATATGTTCAGAGAACGTGACGATTATTAAAAGCGGTAATGTGAAGCGTCACTACGAGAAAAAGCACAAATCTTTTGAGCAAAAGTATCCACTCACATCCGACATGAAGTCGCAGAAAATAAACGATCTAAGAGCCCAATATGATCAGAATCCTAACACATTTATTCACCGCCCAACAATGACGTTAACAGAGAGAATAGAGCTGAAACAAGTGATTTAATAACCACAGATAAAGTCCCTGCACTGAAATTACTCGTTTTAAAAGATGTAAAAAATATAATGTCACTTCACACCTGAATGAACTGAATTTAAAGCTGCAAGGACAATTCAGTTCAATTAATTTCACTGAATTTCACATTTTTCAAAAGATTTCTGTTATTTATTTTATTCTTATATGCTGCCCTTATTTTACTTGAAATGAGAGAAGAACATTTATTTATTATTAGAGTATGTATTATTTATAATTCATCCAGTTCAATTTGCAATCTGACAATAAATATTGTTGAGATATAATTCAATTGAACTTTATTGATTTGATTTGACAGTCAGACGTCAATACAACTGTTGGCTACTTCCATATATATGGAACTAAATCATAGCGCACTTAGATCATTGTGGTGTTCTGGACCTTTGCATGAGGATATTCTCTCTAACTGGAGTAATAAGTAAATCACAGGCTCACAGGTCTGCATGCACAGAGACTCAATATTTGACAGATGAAGTAACATGAAACCATAAATGATTTGCAAAGGAAGACTGTCCTTCCAGTTCATCATTATTAGTATTTTGGCTGAAACCATCCTGAGTAGAAAGTCCAATAGTCATATTTACCCTTGCACCCCCACTGGCTGTTGCACAATTCATTAACACTTGCAGAAAACATCCCGATGTGCCACATTGGATAGGTACTCGTTTTTTAATTCTTTGTGCACACATTTCAAAATGGTGCAAGAGGATTCGGAAATGGCTTGATCCAGAGCAACAGGAGTTTTTAGATGATACCACAGTGATTGCCTGTTCAAGCTATTTCCAGATGCCAGGCCCATGGTTTCTAGATTTAATGCCCCGGAGAGGCATTACCTTGACTTGTATGCCTGTCAATAGCTGAATATATGTGGAAGTCTCTGAACCCCTTGATTTGGTTTGGATTTAAGTCCTAGTAGACATTGATCCTGTCAGACTATAAAAATAAGCATTTGGGTCTTTATCAAAACTTGCACACAGTTCAGCCATTTAATAATTGATCTACAACCTCTGTTGTTGCCGTCTCCCCGAAGCAATACTATGTCCTGCTGATCATCACTGACGGAGTGATCACTGACATGGATGAGACGCGGAGCGCCATCGTCAACGCCTCTCGTCTGCCCATGTCCATCATCATCGTCGGAGTGGGCGGGGCCGACTTCAGCGCCATGGAGTTTCTGGATGGAGACGATGGACGTCTGCGCTCTCAGACCGGCGAGACTGCCATGCGAGACATCGTCCAGTTCGTGCCATACCGGCAGTTCCAAAATGTAAGTCGGAGTGGAAAAAAATCACCTTTTTATAGCACTGATTGCTTTTATAGAAGCTATGTGTTTGTGAATAGGGTTTGCTTTAATTTCATGAAATATGTCTTTAATAAGCCAATTCATATCTTTACAAAACTGCATGCCTTTCAAACTTTTTTCTGAGCATTTCACTGCGTCATTTTTGGTTTAACTGGCTTCAAAATTTCAAATCCAAACATAACATATATAGTGTCCCGATCTAAAACCAGTATACATGCCCAAACCCAGGCAACCCAGCCCATCAGCTCAGCCCTCACTTAGCTTACGTCTGTGCATTGTGTATTCATCTCTTTTCAGGCACCCAGCCAGGCTCTTGCCCAAAGCGTATTGGCCGAGTTACCTCAACAAGTGGCCTCCTTCTTCAGTATATTCAAACTGAAGCCTCCCAATGATCCAAATACTTCATAGGGGTACCCCAAATATTTCTTCATAAAATTCCCCACCACCCTAGCCTGTGCTTGGCCGATATGAATAACTGCCTCCCTGCACGAGTCATCGCATGTAGTGATTGCTATCCTCATGTTTTCATTCTTTTCCAACTTTGTTTTGCTAAAGATCCACCACCAGTGCTGAGTGAGAGAGATGGTACAATACATTCTGTGTGAGGATATGAAGCACTGGTGACCGATCTCAGAAACACATTCTTGTTTACATTAAAGGGAAAATTCCTCTGCTCAAAAGCACTTTGTGCAGATTAATCCATTGTTCTGTAGTACATAGTACTATAGTCACCAGAGTCAACAATCTGTCATCAACACTTGCATCTTCAGCTCTTTTCCAAAGAGAATAGGGTGGAAGCGAGACAAAACTAAGAGGAAGTGACAAAACAATAGTATTGCTGTAATTGTTGTCACTGTTGCTGCCCACTCCATCTATAAATGCAACAAGTACAAGTAACTCCTCTGGAGGTTGCCAGAAAAAGTGGTATTGTGACAAATTAACTCTCGAAATATAGTGAAAAGCAAAGGTGGTTGGAATTTTCCCTTTAGCTGTCTTCATCTGCATGACGTTCTACTTCTCATTCATGAATTCATTTCATTAAATCGGTGACAAAATCTTTTTTTTTAAAACGTTTTTTCTCTTCCTTTTGCACTTCAGGGTCCCCGAGAAGCGTTAGCAAAGAGCGTGTTGGCAGAAGTACCAGGTCAGCTGGTGGACTTTTGCAATACCACGAAGCTGAGTCCACCCAAAGCCAATGCTGCCCCAAAGCCTGCAGGTACCATCTGATGACATGAGGAAGAACCCAGACACAGACCCATCTCATCTGCTGCACATATAAAGCAGATCATCACACAATTAGACAAAAGTCCTTCCTACACTTGCCTTACTCAAACCTTTATTTCACCACCTCAAGGAAATACCAGCATGCAGCTTAGTCCAAAACAACCACCCCAAACACACAATGCATCCACACTCATGACCAACCTGTGTATTTTTAAGTGTCAAAATAGCTTTTGTTATATCTTAGCATTGTGTGTTCATTTTAGCTGTTATTCAGTGCTACTGCATATTAGAAATAGGAAACAAGCATAATCATTCCGCCATTGTTGAAAATATAACTTGATAGGCAGGGAATTGCACTTTTAAGATTTTTTTTTTTTTTTAAAGAAAGTATTAAAAATACACATTTAAGCATTCATTGTTTCAGAAGTAATCACTCAAACATTGCACTGTGTGTTCACTAGTCGGCTGCAGGCTCTTTAATTCGGAGTGTGCAGTTACAATAGTTTTGTAAACGTCTTTTAGGCATTAAGATAACAAAGGGGATCTTTTAATTATGAGAAACTGGTGTGACTCAGTATATATATCATAGGGTAGTGGACCCCCCCCCATATACGCTGTTTACATCCTCAGTGGAATAGCTGCAGCGCTGCTAGTAGCATAATTATGTACAAATAGCCAAGTAGCTTTGTTAATATTAATGGATGCACCTGCTTCTTTATGCACTCTAACGTTTTACTCATTACTCAATGAAATGCCAAACTGTGTGTGTCGGTTATAAACCTGTGTAGCCCCAGAGCGGTTTGTACCTTAAGTATGAAATATTGTGACGACTAGAAAGTGGTCTCATTGATTCGGTGGTATTGTGCCAGTCTCATGACTTGTATGTGTGTACATTTACTGTGGTCTACCATTGTGCCAGTTACTTCGCTGTTGTTCCTGGACAAGGACTGTCAATTCCATAGATATGACTATGTATATCAGTATTACACATGCTGTCACCACAGAAACGAGATACAGTACTGCTTACTGACATCTGGTCACGGATAGTTTTTATGGTTGCACGATGAAAGCATGCTTCTGACGTATCAGCTTTGGTGCTATAATAGAAATGTGCCTTTGTGTCAATATAAAGTACATCACAGTTCTATTAAAGCATCTCTTATTCAACACAAGTTTAATTCAACATTTCTTTAACAACTTTCAGCAATTAAACAGCCCTTTGTGTACTATTCTTTGTCATTGCATAAGAGACAATATTTGTGATTGTGTTTTGATAATGTGAAGTTGTAGAGAAGTGTTAATGCAGTGGCCTAATGGGGACACCTTTAGTACGTGTACACTTATTATTGTGAACTGATGTGTGTTACACCAAGTCAAAAGCGCCATCTATTTGACCAAATTATTATTGAATGAGGTGATATTTTGATCTCTAATATTGTCACATTATTGACATCAAGCCGTTCTTTTATACACACATGTAAATACAGCCATCAGACCACAATCAAACACTTTGTGTAAAAGAGTGCAAAAGCAGCTTGTTCATTGATATAATTACAATACACAGAGGCGACATTGGTTGTTGTGACATCACTACTTGGAGACACTATACATCCCAACCTAATAACCTGTACTCGGGCACTTTTAAGTTTTTATATAAAAATAGGCCATTCTCTTCATTTAGTTGTCGATAACGAGATTGCATTTTGCCTCCTAGTAGCGTAAGATGTGAAATGTCTTTACTGCAGTTCACTCTGTAAATCCAGTGTGCAGCTTACCAGAACTGATTCATAATCTATTTGTGAACTAAATACTTAAGACTAAGAGTCACCCTACCAGCCCTACGTGCATCAACTTGTGTAGATGAATGCAACTCAAGAGCTACAAATCCACTATGAACCACATCACCCTGTTTAGCAAGACATTCTCCGCCTCCTCTTTAGGTGTAGAAGTCCTACACGTACTACTTCCTGGGGAAAAGTAGCCAGTGATACTCATATTTCAGCGTGCCTGGTGTTTTCTAGCAGCTCAGCTGGCTATGCTTGTATGTGAAGCAAGAACTACTACAACCACAGGTTTGACATGACTGAAGGTAGAGCCCGATCCTGGCTTTGGCTACATGCGGTGGATATTTTTGTGATCCATGAACTTCTTAAGGTTCTGCAGATCGTCCCACCACTCGAAGAGGAAGGTCTCTGCGATGAGGCTGAACCAGGGCGTGATCTCCAGTTCTTTGCGCTTGGCCTTCTCCAACATCTCCTTCATCTCCTCCTTGCTCACGTAGCAGTGGCTTTTGATCTCATTGGGGTCTGGGCTCAACTCCACGTTCTTCAGAGAGAAAAATATGTTATTGTCCACAATGTAAAGCTGAGAGACATAATGCAGGCATACAAACGGGGGGGTCCAGATACACATTACATATATATCCTGATATGTAACTCAACTCTTAAGTCCAACACACACTAAAGCACAAACCTTCTGCATGAAGAGGATGTAGTCAATCTCGTGTTCTCCCCACACACCGTCTGACTGGGCCTTGTAGTGGATCCTTGTCAGGTACGTCATTTCATCTGGAGTCACCTGAGGAGACAGAACCACCACAATCCTTCATAATCCTCTTCCATTAAATGCAGAAGCCAGGACTCAAAACACACACACACACACACACACACACACACACACACACACACACACA